ATGAAATATGTATATGTTGTGTCCAGCATTTTATTTTGTTGTTGTAATTTAATTTTCTAACCTACTTGTAAGATGTATTTTATAATAATAATAACATACAGGTGTTTTAAAACTCAATATTAAGTACACCTGCAAAGCATTGCACCGTGTTATGTCAAAACACTCCTGTTTCAGTGAAAGAAAAATTTTATGTCATGCCGATTTCGTTCGTCATAAATTTTCAGTTAATTTTTTTATTGTGAAAATTACTGAAAAATTCATAGTTCGCCCGTAGTGTTTTCTGCAAAGTGTCTGGTGCTGTTATATTGAAGAAAGATAGTTTCTACAAAATTCCACTTTAGCATTAATTTTTTATTTACAAGCCTAACATCTGCATTCAAAATGCCAAGTGAGCAAATCTACTTGTTAGAAATTATTGTGAAGAAAATTGAGCTTCAATCAGACCAGGTCATAAGCGACACCAAAAGCTTATCGGTTGGCTTCAAATTTGCCCAGATCATCAACTTTGAGGTCGACACCATGTATTTTTCGCAGCCAGAGCTTGAGGGTAATTTTCAACTTTAGCACCGTGTGCTTTTGCATGCATTGTAATTATTTAGAGCCCAATGGAAGGACGGTTATGAAGAACTATGGAAAAACGTACTTGTTCGTATCCAAGCCCTCGGATCTGCGTCAACTGCTTGTGAGCGACCCGTACCAAATAACCCTGTATGATGGAAATAAGACTATAGGTTTCACAACGGAATTTTGGAAACGGGAGTTCAGCGAAATGATCAAATTCTTTGAATCACTTGGAATTGTTAAATCTACAGCGGTAGAAGGTAACAGTTGAATCACAACCCCTTCAAAGATGTTAAATTTGGCTCAGCATGCAACGCGTCATTATAATACTAAGTTGTGTGGTTGGCAATGTTTTCAGATATGTATGAACTACAAAATGATCGGGGTGTTACTACGGCCAAAATAGATGTTTTTTTGAGAATGTCATGCTTTGGACAAAACCTACAGACAATGTTTCAAATAAAACAGGCGGGACAAAAGCAAGAGTTCATATTTAGGCAAAGGAATACATCTAGAACTTTTAAAGTTGAGAAGTAAATTTGCTTGGGTGTTATTCATTTTAAATGTCCTCATCTGGCGGATTTGTTCAGGCATGCTGACGAACGATGGCAGCCTCTGGTTGCGCCCCTTTATAGTGCAATTACCGATACGAAAAGCAGTCCTGGTTCTCAAGTTAACATGAAGGAAAATGTGTCGTTGACTCAACTTTTTGAACGAGACTTTGCATTGCAAAAGGATAGTAATTTCCGAACACCAGACCCAGTTACTTTCGAAGATGGTAAGTAACGATTAAAGAAAATCAACAAAAGAATAGTCCATTTTTCTAAAAGTATGGACACTTATACTATGTGATGATTTGAAACATGAATAATTCAGTGCACATTTCAAGAAAAAACTGTGAAAAGCTGGTAGCAAACTGATTTGTTAGAAGAATTTGTGACTTAACTATTAGAAAGATCTAAAATGTGCACTGCAGTCAAGTAGTGATCAGCAAAGTAATACCAAAACTCAGACTTGCATGGTCTCTGTCTTGCTCAGAGTCTTGCAAGTTGTCCTTTTGAATGCAGGAGGGGATCGAGCTTTCAAGTCAGGGGCGGTCACGTAGTAGAAATTCAGTATTTATTTGTCTATGAAATTAGAACAGTCATAACAACATAAGTGAGGAAATTCCAGAAATGTTGACCCAGAAAGCGAAACTTGAATATCAGACACTTTATGATTAGATTATGATAAAATTTCATGTTTTTCGTACCGTTTTGCTCATTGCAAGCAAAATGAGGAAGAACGCTCATTTTTACATCCATCCAGAGAGAACTAAATAACCTTTTTAGAAAGTGTTGTTGTGTGTGTGTTGTTTTAGGAAATGGAAGTTTTCTCAAAAAAGTCTTGATTTCAAGAAGTTTTAGGTTTGCGTGGTTTTTTGACTTGCAAAATCGACTCAAAAATGACGCTGCTTTCTCATGCTCAATTTAAGCCACAGAGTTCGTTTTTGGCATCGTTGCATAGCGAATTGAAAATTCGAATCAGTCATAACAACATGAGTGAGGAAATTCGAGTCGTTTTGACTCAGAAAGCAAAATTTGAATATCACACTTAGGTTCAACATTATACCAAAATTCCACGTTTTCCGTCCCGTTTCTACTCATTTCTCGGAAGCAAAATGCGCAAAAATCCGCTAACACAATTTAATATTTGTAAAGCATTTTCTTTTTTATTTTCATAGGAATCCGGCTGGATTTTCAGGACGATTTTGATAAAGTGTCAATATGCTTCAGACCATCGGAAAACAAGTTCTTCGATTTACTGGACCTTATCAGGTAAAAGCGTTAGCAAAAAGGCTTGTTAACTACTTGGAAATAAACCCTAATTTATATTTAACGAAATGCGGAATTAATAAATTTGATGTAAAGAGCTTGAGGAATTTTACAGTGCTGATGTAAAAACTAAAGATACGCACACTGAGGTAACATTTCAAAGAAAAAAAGTGGACCGTGTGAATTCATTTCTAAAGTCCGTTGGAGGTGATCTCAAGTTAAGTCCAAACATTGTCATCGAGGAAGATGAAAACGTGCTTGAAATGACCGCCGATAAAATTGCGAAAAAGCTTTGCGGAAACAAGGATTGTCCCGCCGTGAAAAAGTTCAAGGAATATGGTACTGAAACTTGTAAAATAATTCAAAAAAGCCGAAATTCAACAAACTTCTTGGCTTAAGACATCCAAATTTCATGCTCAATAACTTTAATTTGTAGGAATAGGCCCTTTAGCTACAGGTAAGAGCCTAGGAACGGTATATGGAGATGTAGAGCCCCCTGTTACGTACGGAATCAGCCACACTTATGGCACAATGCGCGAGTATGGCCCTTATGGGGTATTCTCAAGACCAAAACAGGAGGAACTTCCATTTATCGCTCAAAATGATCTTGATTTTACTGTTAAACCCTGCAAGATTAGAAAGGAGCAGCCGACTTGCGAAAGGAAAACTAAGGTGCAAAATATTAATTACCAAAATAATTACGACAATACAATTTAACAATAAAGAGAATGAATAACGAAGAAGAGTAATTAAAAGAGTAATGAAATTAAAAGTATCCCATCAATTAATATTCCAGTAAAAAGACGATAAGAAGCACTTCGCCCTGTTTCATATCAAAAAAACGTAACTTATCTAAGATATTTTTTGCGATGCAGCAAAAGAAGAAAAAGCACGCGCCTCAATGGCACAGCAAAAGTTGCCCATTATGCCCTGAAAGATTGCGAGGAGGTGCCGATACTGGCCTCCAAGCGCAACCTGGGAATGAGGACGCAATGCTGATGACAAACTCGCCGATGATCGAGTGCAAATCGGTGATGGATCAATTCGACAGCATTTTGGCTGAATATAAAAGAGGTGACCAACCAAAGAGTTTCCTGGAGAAACTGGAGAGGAGAGCGTTTTTAAATGATTGCAGCTTTAGGGCCATGTGGCCAGGCTACTTGCCCATACGCGCAAAATTTGGCTGACGACACTTGCAGGAAAATGTGCAATCAACCACCGTCCCCAGTAAAGGATAGTAGTTCTATGTCTTGTAATGGAGACCCGTGTGATGTTGAAGGATGTCCGTATGCGGAAGCTCCAAAGAAAAAAAGGTAACAAATTAAAAAGCCCCAAGCAAATAATGGAGAACGGTTTTTGCTAGATATCCATCAGGCTGTGGAAACCCTAAATGTGCGTACACCAAGTACAAGTTAGGTCTTCTTGATGATGATGCTGAAATGGAGCTGAAATTTTTACCGCCGCCACTAGCAGGTAGGATTTTGTCACTAATAAGCAGAGTGTGTGAAAAAACGTAAGTAAATGTTTGCCATATGTTGACCAAAATTCCAATAATTGCGTTATTTAAAGTTATCTGGAAGGATAACAGGATCAATTAGGTATTTGGAAGTTGAATGTTTTTCAATTAAATGAGTCGCCTTTTGCGTAGTATTTTTTTTATTAATGTCTTCTTGTCCAGAACTTTTTGTTACCTTCTGTCAAGTGTAGGGTAATTTGTCGACGTGGAACTTTGTAAAACAGCGAATATTTTTTTCGATTGCTAAAATTTCGCTTTTTTTCCTCTTAAGTTGGATAAAACAATAATAATGTTAGCCTTTGCTTGGCTGTTAGCACCGGTATATTTTTCATTGCGATAAGTGCAAGTTTCTAATGGTATAACTCGAAATAATATCCCGTTGGTAAAAAAGATTTTCAACTCCATCCATATGCCCAGAATCCTTCTCCCCAAGTTGCTCATGATTTTATATTATTATGGCTTGCACAGAATTTATCCAACCATCCATTTTGCATGATTTAGAATTAATGTAAAATTCTTGTGAGACTTCGAAAGCTGCTTCTTTTGCTTTGGTTCTCAACTTTCCCACTTAACAGAACCGCTGAAAGAGTTCTTTAGAACCGCTTAGAGTTCTTTCGTTCGTTTTAACTGTCGTTTTTTTGTTGTAGAATTTCTTTATTTAAGATTCTGTTCACCTAATTTTCACCGCTTTTAAACTTCTCGCCCAATACTCGTTCAGTATATGTATTCTCTTCCAATAATCCTCGATAATTGAAATCTGTTCGGAGCCATTTAGAAATTTTGTCGAAAATTAAAAAAGATGGGGTTAGGGACTATTTGGCCAGTGATTAATTTTTTTATTCTGAATAAATAGCACTCACAATGAGTGTGCCATTTAAAAAAGTGATATTTATAAGCTTAAAAATTCGTTAATTTGGACAATTGTTATGATCACCCTGTTGCTTCAAAGACAAATATTTTGCAAACGAAATGTTAATATTGTATTAATTCTTTGTTTTGCCAAATTTAAATATATTTCTTCTAAAGAAAATGGAGAAAAATATGCCCGTATTTCCATCTCTGAATCAGAGTAACGGCACCTTTGATACTGATGTTTGTATAATTTTCAATTATTAGGTCCAGAGCCTCTATTTACATGGTTCGATATCCTATAGAAACGTTTTGATTTTCAACAAGAATGTAATTAATTGCTGGTTTAAAACTTTGCCGTTTAGTCGATCGTTTAGAGAAGCTTTACTGCATACGACATACGGGTTTTAACTAACGGATTAAATTTTTCCAAAAAATGCATCAACCTTAAAGGAAAATCGTTCAAAAATCTAAGTACTCCTGCGTTTTTTCTAAAATTAAGTCATTTTTTTTCGAAGGTAATTGTGGAGATCCGAATTGCAACTATCCATTTGCTGCGCCTTTGCCACCAATTCACTGGGACTGTCCGGATCCCCTTCCAAAAGGAACATGTCGCAACTTGAACTGTCCCTTCCAACCTGCTCCTTTGAAGAAATTTAAGACGAAGCAACAACTGAAAACTGGGCCCTGTGGAAGCCCAATGTGCGCCTATGCTTTACCGCAACCATGTGGGGCTCCTACTTGCCCCTTCATTATGCGTCCTTGTCCCATGGCCGAGGTATTATTTATTTAGGATTTTTTTTATTTTGGCAAATCTAATTCTTCGAGAATTTGCAGAAACAAAAGCAGAAACCGGCGAGAAAAAAATGCCCTTCTGAGAGTGAGGAAAATTTATGTCAAAACCCAGAGTGTCCGTTTTCGGAGAAAAATGCTGGCAATGAGGTTGTTGATGACATCAACGATCCAAAATTCGAAGGAGAGTTTCAGGATTGCGGCAATCCAAATTGCCCGTTTAAGCAGAGGGATAAGAAAAAGGTGATTAACTAATTTAAGGAAAAGTTTACGTTTGGAAGCTCTATTGAGATAAGGAGCTGCTAAAAATACAAGCTTTCAAGTAGTTGCAAATGTCCTTTTTATATTGAGTTGCCAAGACAGAACAGAATCTTAAGAAAAGAATGTACAAAAATTGACAAAATAAATTACGTTAAACAGAACAGAAGTACAAAATACCACTAACTAAGCTATTCGGAATGTGATTGCTATCGTTTTGATTAATATTTGCAAAGGCTGATTTTTGTTTTTGCCACTCAAATAGAAGATTTCGAAAAATTGATATATCGAATATTCCTGAACATAACTCGATAAGAAACGATTTCGTATTTTTGAAAAAGTATGACAATCTTTGGGGGAAAAATTGAGACCTTGCTTTTTAGTTGGACGTCGCCATTTTAATTCATTCCAGAAAAAAGACACTGTTTTCTGGCTCAAAAGAGATTAAACATGTAATTTTCTTTGGCATTTATTTGCTACTACTAAAGTTTTTTCCACTCCCAGAAAAATTGCCATTCGCATTTCATATCAATCTACTCCAAACCTAATCAAATATTATTTAAAACAAAAATCACAAAACTTAAAATAGAAAGGAAGGTGAAAATTTTCTGCGTTATCGAAATGATTAAGAAAGGTAGCAATATACAAAAAAAATGGAAATTCTGTTCTTATACTTACACATTTGTTACAACGTTTCCTTGAAGCAAAAGTGTTAAAAATGTTTATTGTTATTGATCATCTTGATGCGATGAGCACTTTGGAATTACGAAGGGAAATAACGTGATGAATGGAAAAGCTTTAAACAATCGGTGATTAAACTCAACCAGTTCAACGTTTCTTGAGGTATTCGCAACTTAACATGAATAAGGAAAATAAATATATGGCAAAAAAATTTAAGCTGCAACAATGAGGGAACAAACTTGGCCGGATTTTGATAAAACAAAAAAGGAATTCGTGTGTTCAAACCTTTGAATACAGCAAATTTGCCTTTAGTTTGATTACGGATAGTATTCACTCTAATTACGATTAATAAATGCCTACAGTCCATATAGAGCCGATATGGTTTTCGCGTAAAGTTTCTTTATATGCCTCTAGATCAAAGTAAATTAAACAATATTTGCGAATAATTATTGAGATCTCATAGGTTCAGATGAATGAAGAAAAATATCTAACAGACAAAAACGGCAATTTTTATAATTAGTTGGTTATGAGCTACATAATGCGTTATTTCCAGAAATCCAAGAAAAAATTGAAAAAATCCTCTTGCGGTAACCCGGAGTGCCCGTCTGCTAAACCAGACAAGAGCAAAAAGAAAATCAAAAGCTGTGAAATAGGTGAAGAGGACAGCATATGCTCTAACCCAGAATGTCCAGACAAATCGAATAAAGATAAGAAGCAGAAAAACCGATGTGAAAAAAGGTATATTGAAGAATGCTGTTAAATATTTGATGTAACTATGGATTTTCCGGTTTTAGTTCATCTTCTGAGAGTTCAAGCGTATGTTCCGACCCACAATGCCCATTTGCAAGCCCGAAAAAAGGCAGAAAATCGAAAGAAGATAAAAGAAGTGAAGACACTTTGAGTGCTGCATCTTGTCATAAAAAGGACGAAGATAGTGTGTGTTCGAACCCTGAATGTCCAGAACAGAAAGCGAGGTAACTCCTAATATGAGACGATTGAATTTATTGTTTTGCCGCATTAAAAGTATTCAGTTGTTTCTGAATTTGTAGAATCTTAAATTTATTGCTGTTCTTAGTTAAAATTTTTGTTTTTGTCATTCAGCAATGTACTGAAAATTCAAAAACAAATTAAATATGAAATTCAAGGTTTAAAAGTTAAGATGTATTCGTAATTTTTCGAATGGCATGAATTAGGTTGAATGTTTTGAAGCTTTAAAATTAACCATATAATTTTTCACTCTGGCATGTTTCCTTGTAAATTTCACTCGTCCTTCGGACTCGTGAAATTATGGAAAACATGCAATCGTGAAAAATTATCTATTTACATGGTTTGATATCCTATAGAAACGTTTTGTTTTTCAACAAGAATGTAATTAATTGCTGGTTTAAAACTTAAACATGCAATCGTGAAAAATTATCGGTAATTTCAAAGCACTCCTGGTATTACCCCCGATAATATCGTAATTCGAAGAAATCTGGAAAATCTTTAGAAATAGAGAATCTATTGCATTTCATACAATTTTCGAGATTTCGAAAACATTTAATGCACTTGAAATCGAAATAAATTCAAATGGTTTTGGGATTAAAAAATTATTTGTCACAAATAATTTTAATAGGACTTTAAGTACTGATCTATTGGCGATAATTTAGAATCCAAATAATTTTTTTTAGAACTGAAATCGACCCTGATCGATGTGATCAACCGGGTTGTCCTTATTCAACGAAGCCACCAAACCCTGCAAAGTGTTACGATCCCAACTGTCCATATTTGCTACCATTACCGTCCTGTGGCATCCCGAATTGCCCATATGAACCTGTTCCTTTAAGGTAACGCTAGAGAACACAAGTAAATAAAACTGATTAACTTTTTTGCACTTATTCAAGATATTTATGCAAAAACCCCAAGTGTCCATCGAGGCAAGTGGACTTTAAGAGAAAATCCGGAGAGACAAAGTTTAATGAAGTCGCAGAAGCAGAAAAATCTGGCAAAGAAAATGTGTCAGTTATAATGGTAGCAGAAATGCTTACGATTTCTGCCTTATATAGTACAACAAATTATTGCTCGTTATATAGGAAACCACATTAGTATGTGAGCAGGAGACACCATGCGACAACAGCCCAAACGATTGCGAAAATCCTGATTGCGAAATGAAGGAATCAACTGAAAATAAAGAAACAGGACTAGTGAAGCACAAAAAGAAAGGAAGAAGGAAGAAGCGAGGAAAATTCGTGTATTCCATCGGAGATACCTATCCGGGAACCAAGCTGGGCCATAGAGAATGCGTAACACCCGTTTTCAATGTCCCACCTCATATGGGATGGTTATGGAACATTTTTACACCAATTCTAAGTTTAAAGGTGATTCTGAAAAGGAAATTAACTTGAATAGCATCCAACAAGCAGCAGTTATTTAAACTTTTCTAATAAGAATTTAATTTAAATAAGAATTTAATTAAATTTAGCCAAGACGCGGATGGCGGCCTGGTGCCTTAACGAAAACCATTGCAGCCCGAATTCGTGCTCATCACCAATCCAAAGGCTTGGGTTTGCTAAAAGTGCCCAATTTTAAAAAGGATGGTGGCCAGTTTGAGGATGCAGAGCTAAAAGTGACGCCAAAACCGACATTGCAAATTCAGAAGAAAGATGGAGTTTATTGGATTACAATGAATCCTTTAAAAGACCCATGTACCCTGGTAAGAACATATTTTCCAGCTCACATGACAATTTGTTGGGTATAACTGAATGTTCTTGTCTAGAGAGTATAAAAGGTTCACTGAACAAGTTCCTAATGACTTATTATTAAGCTCAGAAAGCAAGCCTTTCTTGATTTCTTTTTATTTCTATTGTAATTTACCACTCTTAACTGGCGATTCAGGCCATAAAAATCGAAACAATTTTTTTTGCTGTCATCTGTGATCTTAATGTATAAATTTAGGTTGAAAACGAAGACCCCTACATGGAATGCACCCCTATGACTTTCAAAATTTCAAAAAATAAGAAACCTGAAGAGCAATTTTGTCTTTGTGATGGAGACGCTCCAGATATATTAAACTCCGACGCTTCATCTGATAGTGAATTAGATATCGAATTCACGCCCCCCGCTGGAATAATACACCCGGAAAGGTAATAGTTTCACTTATTTATAACTTATGAAATATCGAAGTTTATTTTATTAGAAGACAAACTCAGTTGTTTTTTAAATGGTAGAATTTGCACACGTTCATTGCATTTTCCATAGCTCTTCTTTTCTCACTTTTTATCTTGTTGATTCTCACTATTCTTGACTTCTTTTGCGCTGATACATTGGTTCTCGTATGTTCTATAGGCATTACACTGAGAGGATTTGGACCTGAAATTATCTACTTTTTACTTGCTTTATGTTTAATTTTTTTTTCAATTTTAAATTTAAATTTCCTTTTCCTCGAAGAATCTCCAACTTACTTTTTCACCAAACTAAATAAAATGTCTGACCTTTTCTAATTATTTCATGAGTCAAAGTTCTTTTTAGTTGTTCAGTTTCAATACGCCTTTCTTCTGCGGCCTTAAATCAAATTTTCCTCAACAACATATCCATGATACGGTTATGAGAAATGTTCGTTATGTCTGCTCTTTACCTGTTTGTTTTTGCATGTTTAGTTATTTTGTTTTGCTTTGTTAATTCCTTTAAGAGACTAATTAAGAGAAAAAACGCAATTCTCACTTTCCAATTCAGGTGAGTGTTCACACTAACTCAAGTTTACTGTTGTTCTAATAGATTTAAAAAGCGTCCAAATGTGGTTTGTTGCGATGCACAGTACGATCCCAAGGACTTTGAAGTTAAGAAAAAGAAAGACGATAAAAAAGCAAAAGGTAAAGGGAAAGATAAAAAGGGCAAAGGAGGCAAAGGCAAGAAAGGAGGCAAAAAGAAGTAAAAAGTATTGAGTTTATATCAAATGTAGCGCGTTAACTGAAATTAAATATTGTGCCGAAAAATATTTTTGTGTATTGCTCTTCAAAATAGGCAACAGTGCAAGGTAAGCTAATAACATATAGAATGTGCTTAAACTTTACATAACGTGACTATAGCTCTAAACATGTTAATTCGATTAAAAGATATACATAGTCCTTACAACTCCAATCAATTGATACTTACTTCGTTGTCTCTCATTTTTACTGTAAAGCATTGTAAATGGGTTCTTTGCAGGAATCGCTCCTTTTTTGTTGAGAAGTGTTAATATGATTGGTAAAGCGACCACAGATCCGAAAAGTATAACTCCTGTTAGGGCAAGCGCGCCTACATTTAAGTTGACCATTGAAGTCTTTGCCATATCCATTGATTTTTTTATTGGCAGAGTTATAAATGGAACGTTAAAGTCGAGTTCAATCTGAAATTATAAATAAACTTGTGTGACTTTAATATTATTTTTCAATGGAGAACTTGTTTGTCCGAAAATTCTAAACTAAAACGGATTTTTTCGCGGCTTAAGCGAACAAATAATTTTTTGGTATATGAAAAATGTATTGCTTTAAAAATAATTTTTTTTGTACAACCCCTGCATAATAATATTCAAAACCATTCTATTGATAATCCAGATCACGTTTATTAATTATTCCATTAGTGCGTTGTCTAACTAAAACTAAAATGTCTAGATTCCAATTGAAAAATAAATTCGAATCAGGAATAACAGCACAAATATTGAACTAAAGAATTTATTTAAATGTGAAATTTCAGTAAAATGTGGGAAATTCTGATATCTTTTAATTTATTTTAAGTCCGTAATAATAGTTTTAAGTTCGTAATAAGTAATCCGAAACAAACATGTTGTTTTCGGATCAATAATTACAAAGTCGTCAATGAAAAGGTCAACTTTGTCATTGGCAAGAGTATAAGAAAAATATATAGAACAGAAAAATGTGTAAATGGTTACTTTATAGGATTTAATCTATATATTTACGAAACACACTGAATATTTTGAGCAAAGAAATTTTACTTTAACTTTAAAATATTATAGGAATTTACTGAATCATTTTTTATTCTAGAAAGTTGTGAAAAAAAAAATCAGTTCCATTAAACCACATGTTTAGATGCAAGTGATGGAAGAAAATCGCTTTTGCAATATTCGAATAGTTTGTTCACGTAGGTACAATAAGAAAATAATCTTCATCACAGTATTTCATTCATAATTATCTAATGAAGAAATCAATAAGTTCTGAGTTTGTTAAAATATTTTCTTTATTCCGATTTTGTTATTTACTTATAGTAATAATACCTACACGAATATCTCCTTCTTCATTAAAGCTAATAAGCCTGCTCCGACGCACATTAATCAATTTCTCGGACATTTTTTCGGTATAATTAGCACTGTTATCACTACACAAGGCAGTTCCAACACTCACAAATTGTAAGTAAAAAGCAAAAAACTTTAGTAGCTCCCGACGCTTGTAACCCTTAAGCATCTTCTCCAGACAAATTGAAGAATCTGGTTTGTCATTACCAAACATCAAATGTGTTTGTGCAATACCAGGAAGTGTTTGAAACGATTTTTAATAGCAACAATTTGGGAGAAATGTGTGCGGTTACACGTTGACAATGGTTGGGTATTATTTTAAATGTACAGTTTAGTTAGTTAAATAAATGAAAAGAATTGCGTTAATTGAACATTGTTTTTGAGCTATCGAGTATGAGAGAAAAATACATGGTATGTTGCAAGAACCTACGAAAAAGCGTGCTTCAATATGTTTTTTTAGTGAGAAATTCGGCGTTTATTTGAGGGACAATCCGAGAAATGAGTGTGGTAAAGTTAAAAAAAAAATTAAGTTGAAAACTGAACAAAATCAAAGAATTAACAGCAAGGGATTTTCTAGGGCTAAATTGTAACTATTATCAAAAATATTTGAAATAGTGTCGTTATTATTTACTTTATGCATGCAAAAGATTAAAAATTAAGCCAAACTAATAAATGATAATTATTGAAATAGTCTAAGTAGAAAGGGACTTCAAAATGTGCCAATCTCAGGCACTACTAAGGGCGGTTTCGTGTTTATTAGCTTTAATCAGCTGGATTAGTGCAGCCCCAAGAAAGACAAACCATCTTTCAATTTTTTATCATCTGGATTCAGCCTAAAAATAACACTTCCCGAAACCGGTATTTTATTCGTTGAAATAAAGTACGGATTTCGATAGCATTTTTTTCTGGCTGAACCAAACTAGTCTCAAATCCGGTCAGAGGGTGCCTGAGATTAAAACATCACAACATATATGTTGTGATGTTCTAGAGATATGTTATATGCTCTGAGATATCTCGACCCACTTAGATCAGAAAGAAACATTTGATAACTCTGATGAGTCTTCTAGTAAGTAACAATCTTACTTACGCGTAAATCTCCATCTGAGGTGAAACCAATAAGCCGCTGCTGTTTCCTAAGGCCACTTTTTAAAATCGTTCCTTCGAAGCTCTGACGAAAAACCGTCGCATTTCCACAAGATATTTCAAAGTTTGAAATTGAAAACAAAATAACGCACCAACAATATTTGAACATGATCCAAACGGCAAGTCGCACAGCTGGATTCTCTTCGAGGAAGAAATTGCTTTTGGTTTCACCTGCTACTAAGTGATATATATATATATAACGTCTTAATTTTTGGCAAAATTAAGTGATTAGGACTGCAGTGATTAAATATAAGTTAGAGCCCAATTTATCATAGCAAAAACTACGGTTGGTTGAGTACAATAGTTTGCGTTTAGAACGAGTTTGATAGTTAATTCATTCGCACACGATATCGCTTGTGTAAGAGGACATAGACATAAGGAAGATCGTATTTAACAATTAAATAATTAGGTGTAAAAATACACAATTTATTTTAAGTGTCGATTTTTTACCGCACTAATTGCTTGAGGTGCATGCAAGCCTTTTCAAATTTTAGTCCTGTCGGTTTTCGATAGTATTTCCATCTCGTAAGTTGCCCTGTTCTTCAATTGTTGAGGTTTTTGCAACATGAAATTTTTGGCTCAATTAACTTTAGAGATTGTGATTGTGTAAATGTTGAAAGGTAATAATATTTTCTACTAATATTATACTCTTCCAGCAACTTTCATTATCATTTCCCAACAGAAATTATTTCAATTTTGTTGTCATGTACCAACGTACTTTTACAAAATCAAAACACTAAATCCGTTTTTATTTTCTTCATATCAAAAGTTGAAATCGGTATGTCTGACATTGAATTAATTTTCTAAAATATTTGCTGTGTTATTTTAACTCATTTCCTTGTTTTACTTTGAGTTAAGTATATTTTTATCCGATTATTTTTCTTCGAAAAGTTTAAAACTTCTCGTGTCCCATTTTAGAGCAGGCTTAAAACACATGTTTTCAAACAAATTGATTACAGAACGATCAATCAATTTTTTTGCTTAAGCTGTGTTAAGTGAAATCAGGATTAAGCATTCTTCAAACAGTATAGGAAGAAAGAACCAAATCGCATAATTTTAAGTCAGTTTCCACATTAAATTCAATGTTTATTCGAAAACCCATCACGTTTTTCTGTCGCTTTCTTATTTCATCTTCCATCTTATTTACTTTCACCCTAATAAGAAGTCAGTAAACTTGCTAGTATCATTTCTTGTCGACTTTTCCGGAGTAATACAAGTAGTGCATAAAATGTCCGAAAACTATCTTAAAAATAGTTGTTTTTATACATAAAAAAATTAAAATAAAATAAGATTTAATGTAAAACGTAATCAGACACACGCAATTGTGATAAATTTGAAAAGTTGTTTATTAATTTGGATTATAGTTCAACAACACAAACGTTCTGTAAATTTTCGAAATTCGCTACTAATCTGATACTTAAAACAAAGTCATAGGAGCAGCAGTTGGAAGTTATTTATATAGTTTATAGTTATATATTCTTTATAATTTAATCTCAAATATTATGAATAAGTTCAATCGTTCACCTTATTTATAGTTTTGCTTGCATTTAACAGTCTGAAATAAACGAATTCTTCTTTGTTTAAAATGCAGTTCGAATTTACAACTAACAACACAAACTGACAATTTATTAATTAAAAGCACTTTTTTATATACTTAGCTCACATTGGCTTTTCAGCAACTAAACATCTTAATTGTAGATTTGAAAAACATTATATTAATAATGGGGAACATATAAAGCTAATAAACGTGTGATTTATTGAATGTGGTTTGCTACAAAAAGCAGTAAGTTTTCTCAACGAGAATGAATAAGTGCTTTCTTTCAAAAGTGATTCGCAAACAAAAATATATATCCAGAGTAAAATGGCAGAACGTTTAATTACATAATTGACTTATTCTTGTGAAAAAGTAACAGCATTTTTTATTCGCTAATTAACGAAAGTTGGAAAACTATATCTGGAAAACATTATCTGATGATTGCGTTTTTTTTCAGTCAGCGTGTCTCATTTAGTGAAACACTTTTATTTTGCAGTTTGCTTCGACTCTCTCAGGGTTAATAAAACAGCAACTAGCAAGACGAAAACTTTTATTCAAACATAATAAGTAAAGTTTTTAAACAGCACTATCAAATTCAAGCTACCGAACTGGCAATAGTATGGCCATTAGCTATTTTATAAACAGGGCGACCGAGAAAAAACCGACGAGTAAACAGAAAATTGTACTTCTTTGTCCATTAAAAATGTTGGCTCAAATGTTATTCATCGTCTTTACTTATTCGCCCTGTACGAAAATACATATGGGAACATCGACATATACAATAATACATTTGTTTATAACTAAGCTGAATTCCCTTGTAACTGAATTTTTAGCTGCCATTTGACTGTGCAGTCGAATTTTTTCTTTTAATAAATAATATTAAACCTATAAAAGCAAAGGAATAACAAAACATAATCAAACAAATATAGCAATAAATACTGAGCAAACAAACAGGAATAAATTATAACATAAATTCAAAACAGCTTTAACTATAATAATGGGAAAATCTAGGTACTTTGTAAATGAATCATACATTTCAAGAGTAGTAATATACTTCCAACTATAATTTCAAAATGTTTCAAGCTACCAGGTATGGAATATAACACAATGATCAAAATAATCTATAAACTGCTCTTTTAGCGTCCAAAGAACCCTTAGCGTTCATGATGCTGCCAAATATCGTTAAGGACAATGTAGTTTTAATTAATCCATATTTGGCATGTACTGAAATCACGGATTTTTTCAACACAATGATTCGCATAAATGATACCTTATTTCAAAGTTTTAGTTTCACTGATTCATAGACACTCCACTCACTTGAATCAAAACATACAAAGCACAAACGTAAGCAAGAAGCATAACAACCAACTGCAATGATAGTATTTTAATTTCTCGTAACTACTATAAATTATTTCCATTACAACACTTCAAGATGCAAGGTGTTCAAAGTCGAATTAAAATACTAAAGATGACGATTACTTTTTACTAAAATGATATACACAAAATAACAAACTAATAACTTGGATGTAGTTGTACGTATATCACAGAAGTATGAAGAAAATTCATACTAGAAAAGTAACATAGAGCTAAGTTAAGCACGCTTCGAAGCGACTTACTAAACTCATTCTCACAAAAACATCACCATACAGAGAAAAAATAACATCAAACCTACTTTATTGTGGTGAAAAATAAGTACAAAAATACGTTACAAAAATTACCTTATCATTAAAAAAATACTTAATTTTCTTTAATTGCCTGCGTTTGTTAGAAAATGGGACATCTCAAACGCCATTGTAAAAAAATAAATATGCAGCCCTCTTCTAAAGCGCTAGCGTAGCAATTGCGTTAAAGGTGAACTTTGCCATTGGAACAAAATATATCATCTACATATCACGAACTACCTGCAATTTTAACTTTCGCAAGTTTGTTCTGCTTGTACGGTGGTTTAATTCCATATTGCTTTGATACGTTCGGCATACATTTAAGTACACCTTGAAAACCCGGAGAAGCGTTATAATTTGGCACAACGTGAGTTGTCTGATAAATAAGAACTTCTTCTAAATCACATTCTCTGAAAATAGAAACATTTTCTTAGGATTTCTAGATTTGCAATCAGATCGAGTGATATGAATCGTGGGAATTAAAAAAATCAGCAATTTTTTATTTATTCATAAACAGTTGCATAGTAATTATCCCAACTCAAATAATTATTTTTAAATTAACGGTAAGATGCTTACCGTGCATGCTCCAGGAACTCTTGATACAAATCTTTGGGTATTTGGCTCGGTTTTTCTGATTTATCTACAAACATGTCCGTTTCTCTATTGTAAAGGTACAAAAAGTCATTCAATTGCTTTGCAACTATTGCTGCTCTATCTTTGGTTTCCAGTTTTGTACTCGGGGCCTAAAATAAGAACATTTTAGGTTTTAATAAACGCGAAACCAGTATTTTGTTACTTAAATCTGGTCAATTTTTCGAGCTTTTAGACCGTCGCGGAAAATAATTTCTTCCAATTCTTCTTTCCACGATAGCTTAGAAGCCTGAAAAACTCACCATTTTCAAGCAAAAGCCTTGAAAACCAGACTCTTTTGATACGTTGTTGTTTACTATTGCCAAAGGCGAAGAACGAAGGTTTACCTTAACACTATATGGTGTTCTCAAATAATTAGAGGCTTTTTGCAGAAACTTTAAAACGATTTCTACATGATCGTCCTGATCTGGTGCGCTAACGATCTTTTTCAGTACACAAACCAAATATTGACTGAATGTTTTTCTCGCTTCACATTGTCTAAAACATGTCACTAAGATTAAAATAAGATATAATTCGCTATGAAAGCAGCTGGTTGGCCTTCCATGTAATTATTTTCCAGCTGTGTGAAATACAGCCAAATATGTGCATAGACTATGGAATGAAATCAAACTGCTAATTGAAATGGTGGAAATAATAAAAAGTCAAGTGTACAATAAAATTGCATTGCTCACAAATCACTTACGTAATTTTCTTGCCGCACTTCAGCATATCGATAATCTTCTTTCGTAACTCTATACTTTGCGATTCCTTCGTAATTTTACATAAAACTAAGGCCTGCTTATGACCCCTGCTTAATGCCCTCTCATACCTGTCCTGCCTGCCGTTCATCCTCGGTGGAACTGAATATAAGAATATACTTTAAAATCGTTAATCAAATATTAATCCTGATTCATAAAAGTGCATTTGAACGCTAAACTACGGTAACATCTAATGTATGTATCGACTTACTTGTAGTTCGAAGAAATACCTACATGTGTTGTTGTCAAAAGATGACTCTCTTTTTCTATCCAGCGATGAAAACTTGGCGCGCGCTTGTTGTTTTTCGTTAGATCTATTGACTCTGGCCGGCATATCAGGGAACAAATGAGAATATAGAGACATATTGAAGTTATGTGCATTAGTGACATTGTAGGAGCTTGAAACTATGCCAGATATCGGAATTCCGGTGACAGGGTCTGAAAAATTTTAAGGAAAATCACTTGGAATGCGTAATCAACAAACAATTTATAATCGATATCAAACAGTAATAAAACATACATACTGAATGAATCGTGTAAAATTTTTACCTAAATACTGGGCATATCTAGTCCAACTATCCACAGCAGGAAATATACGGACAAATCCGCCGCGTCTATCAAACTGAGCCTGTGCATTCTTAACAATTCTACTTTCTTCCGGAGTGGGCTGTAGAGAGGCTGAAGAAATTCGTCGTGTCGAAACCGTCGAAGATTGTTTTTTTGACAACGAAACATTGCTTAGACCGTCTGCTGAATGTACTCTACGACACTGAAATACAAAATAATTCATATAAAAAAATTAATAAAATCTCTGGTAAAAACTCACATTACTAAGTTTCATTTTCAGTCCCAAATTGCCCTTGGTTAAATTTACAGTACTGGTGGGTCTTAAAATCGGATCAACCGCGGGAACCCCCACAAGAGTTAACAAGTCTGCTAACATAGCAGATTTTAGTCTAACATCGAGTGGACTATCACAGTTCAATGAAGGCGACAAATTCACCTCAAGCAACCAAGGTTTCAGGTTGGAATCAATCAGGATATCAAAACCATACAATTCTAAATGTATGAAAGCGATGACATTTTTTCCATATAAATATGTAGATCTGCACTCTTACCAAAACAGTTATTCGGATGTGGCACAAACATCTTCCAAGCGCAAATAATAGAATTAGCAGAGGATAAAACGGCCTTAATAACCATGTCCTCAATTTGGGACATTAACAGAGTGGTGTCTTTTCCTTCCGATTTTAAGTGGCGTAAGAGTGCGCTTAAAGTCCACTTGTGTCCAACGTTTTCCGCACTAGGATCATCCGATCTAAAATGCATTTTATTCTAAAAACTAAGCTTCAAACTAACTAAATCCCGTCCAACTATTTCGAGAAACAAAAAAATAACTCACAATAAACTTCTTACAAGTTTACGCACTAACAACATAACCGATTATCGATATGTGTAGATGCAGATATCATGTTGATAACCCTAACTACTCATAACAATAGAAAAATTAATCTAAAATAAAAATCTAACTGATTTGCAACCTTTCATTTCTCAACAAGTTGTTCCGATAAATAACGGTTTTATTCAAATTTATATCCCATAAATTAATAGCCCATCCACTAAATAATTAAGTATTAAATACTTACTTTACATAATCGCTATGGTACTTGTTAATGCTGTAATTGCAGAGATGCATGCACGGGTTCCACAATTGCTTGTGACTAGAATCATATTTCACAGTGGCAAATCTCACCAGACCTAAATGATGTTAGTAAGGAATTATACTGTTTGTGCATTTTGGAAAAAACTGCATTGAGAAAAATATTAAATTAGTGAAAGCATTAAATCTGCTAATTATTGTTCATAAGGTTTATGAGTAAAAAAGCCCTGATCTTTGTCTCCAAGCGGCATTATCTACTAAAGAATCAGTAAGAAATAAATCCGCAATAAGTAATTTCGCTCTTGTCGGAAAAAAATGTAAAAATGAAATCATCTGCATTTAAAATACCCCTGCAAAAGTTAATTATTTTTCACACCAAAGTAATTATAAGGTTCAATTATGAATCAATTATTGGAGATAAAGTAACAGGGACTGAATGTAATAATATATGTTATTTTGAAAGTTACTATTCCAAGATAAGTTATTATATTACCTTCTTCGTAAATATAAATAATCAATGGATCGAAACTCGTAACAACAACGTAAAGTCTCAAATCGCATTTGTGACCAGCCACTAAAAGGGGATTTGAGATGTATTTGGCAACCACAACTGGTTCCTCCAGAGGCACTTGATTAGGAGACTCCACAATAAAAATTCCTTTAAAAAAAATACCAATTATCCAGCATAACAAATCAATTCTAGTACCAATTAAATATTTATTCCTTGAACTGGTAACAATAACTACACAAGGAATCAAAAAGGACCATAAAACGGATAAATCAAACAATTAACTAAACGACCATCACTTCCTTTTTGTACCTACCTCGAAACAATAAGACAAATGAAAACTGCTGAAGGAAATGACTTGCATAAAATTTCTTTAAAGTCATGCCCTTGAGTCAATCAACTAATTACCGTATAGTTATTTTTTTTTAAATAGAAAACGTACCTCTTCCCCTGCTGGACGCAACTGGTTTTACAATCCACGGCCCTTTCACTCGATGATGCGTAGAGCACAACTCCTTAAATTCCGTAGGCATTACAAAAGTTTGGGGTATAAAATCGAAATGTTTTAGGCCCTTTAGATGTTGCATTCTTTCGATGTTCTTGTACAGGCGATCTTTGCGCGTTAATTCGTACGATCTTGGAAAGTGATTTACTCGTTGGTGTGGTGCTAGAGTTCGTAGGGTTCCTTTAAGTAAATTATTACAAAATCAAATGCAATGAGTAAATTCTAAAACACTACAAACATAATTTATGGCAGTAATTAAATAAAAACTACGAAAAAATGTTTATTGGAAAATAGTGGCGTATCGATTATTTAAACGCTGGCCTAATATCATATTATGGCTAATAAAAAAAGAAAAAGCACTGGCATGGTAGTAACACCTAACGTGAATACCTAAAAGCAATTTCATGCAAAATTTATTACTTGCAGAACGAATATTTGTCGGCAACTTCCATGTCGGCCATGAATAACCCTGACAAAATGCAAGTTTCACTGCCAAGAATTAAAAGTTATTGTTGGCAGAGCTTTTAGAGAAATTAAATTTCTCTGCACTTTTCAAAATTCGTCTTCACGGCGCTGCACAAAGGAATAAGGAAAAAGTTCGTATGGTTCGAAAAAAATAAACAAAAACGACACCAATAGATCGATAAATTGCAAAGACGGAAACACATCTTCAATAGCAGAAGTGTCCTCTAAATTAAGCCGTTATTCACAAAGATTCAGTGATAAAGAATTTATTAAAAAAACATAGCAAATTACGAAAAAATCAGTTTTTTTAAATAGACAAGAAAATACAATGATAAGGATTTTTATATTGAATCACTAAGCAACTGTCTTTTGGGCCTCTGAACGGTTCCCATCCACCTTCATACCTCCCAAAAGACAGACAAACTAACTAAATAATTTATAAAAACGTAAGTAAACTGTTTTCTTTGGTTTACTACAGAATATGTATTCCTTGCGTTCATCACCACGATTCCTTAAACATAGTGTTTTGCATTGTTGAATATGAATATTTGATTCATAAATGCATTGGAAAGTAATCGACTCAAGTATAGTGCAACCGAATAAAAATCGTTTTTATTTGTTATTCGATAAATATTCTTCCATATTGTCGTATAGTCCAAGCTTGTTACAAAAATATTTCGATCGGTTTTGAAACTCGCGAAAATTTAAATAAGCGTTTCTAAAAAATCGTTAATTTTGAAGCCCTTGTACTATTACCCTCAAGACGTTTATCATACAAACATTAATACATAACATACTTTGTTGTAAAGTAATTCTTTAACGTCAAGATGAAAACGTTTTTATCTGTGCTGAAAAAACGTAAAGTTAAATTACCCAAACAATTGCAATTGTCTTATTGTTATTAAAAAACATTAAAGTGTAGATTACCGAGGGGGTTACATAAATAAACAATTGACTCATAGCGGAAACATGTAATTAAACTACAATTTTGTAACGACTGCGATTAAAATCGCATTGCATTTGTTGTCATGTCTATACGATATTGATAAATTGATTGCTTTTCTATAGAAAGACGTTGCCTTCTTCACAATCAATTTTATTTCAATTTATTATTTAGAGTTTTGATATGCTGGCTTATTGAAGCATGCAACTTTATTCAATGGACAAAGGCGCTCGAGCGAAATATGTAAGCTTGGGAAAATTGATAGGACTGTTGTGGATGACTGCGGTTTATACCATATTACCGTAATTGTGGTTTACCAATCAATAATATGATATAATGATATTTACAAAGTACGTAGATAATATCGATTTTTCAGATCTACACATTCATATTTTTTACTTGGAAAATAACTTTTATAATCAGTTGGGAGTGAAATTGAAACAGCAAAAATATTTAAAAGCTTACCTGGTTTTGGGTGGGAACCAGTCCATAATAAATTAAAATCAGATGAATTCGGTGGAACCTCAGTAATTCCATGGCAGTCTAGGAGTTTCGATAATAACTTTGTTTCAGCTTGTAACACCTAGAGAGGTACTTTTTGTGAAAACATAAAGTAAAAACTATCGCAAAATAAATGTGGGTTAATAAGACAAATCATATTTTAATTATATTAATAAAAAAGATAATATCAATACCTTATAAGTCACGTGTAATTTATGACCTGGTTTATCCTGATTTGACCTAGTGGTAGGATTGGCCAATGCAGAACTCTTGAATACTAAAATGGCATTTCTGGAACCCAATTGACCTCCTAAGAGCCACTGGTCAGACGGTATGCTGGGTTCGTAAGGTAAAATAGACGAACTGGAAAACACATTAAAAGTGCAAATTTTTTTATCAATAAGAACATGGAAATAATACAGTATTTTAAAGTATTAAACAAACATATACAGTAGAATACAAAAATTAGTTTTTTTTTGTTGGAAGCCAGTTATGAAAAATACAAAAAAACAGACGCCAACCCTAAGTAGGTCTGCTTAAACCTAAAAATTCAAACTTCGGCCCTAGAAAATTACTTTCTATAATCCTGGCACGATTTTGTGTTATCGAGGAAGTTTTCAATATGATTTAAATAACTTTAAATAAGCAAAAAAAAGAGTAGTTAAAACTAGTGAACGTTAAAGAATAATTTCTCTTATCGCGAAACGAGAATCGCTTTTGGTAATATTTTATCGCATAAATAAATAATCACGAAGTCAGTTTTACAACCAGATTTCTCTCAAATCCAGGTAGATGATGAAATGAATATTAAAAATAAATAATTGTGTTATATGAAAATTTCTGTTACCTTTTCCTCTGTGAGTTTGTCGCATGTTAAATTTGATCAATTAAAGCCAGAAATGTTTGTACTGCTTTCACTCGTAGGGTGTACGGTAAGGGTTTCGTAATAATTAAAGAAAACATTATTGGGGCCACAGAATCAAACAAACATCACAAACTTGGCCAAGACATGAAGAATTTTAAAGAACAAAACACCAAATCGTTGGCCATTTGGAGGCATAAGAAAATGATTAATTAAAATATCTAAAACATCATAATTAAACTAATTATTTTTTTAAATTATGCTGATGGAAAATGCAATTAATATCAAGAAATAGATATTTACTTTCATTTCTCAGTAAATTGCAAATTTGTTTTTTCCTCGCAGCCAATCTGTTTCGCAAATTCTATGAATCATACACAAGCCTGCAGACCGCAGTAACCCAGTTTTTTTATGTTGCTCTACCTATCGCCACAATACCTTTAATTAACGATAAAATTAATGCCACCAGTCGTTCGTTTCGAAGCAGATACTGATCAAAATAAGCGCAAAAAAAGCACAGTTCGTTTTGGGCTTGGCACAATGGCGGGACAATGTAAATTGAATAATTTGTATAATTTCACTTACTTTCTATACAAAAAAACATTAAAATATAAAATTTTGTTGACAAAAATGCCTAATTAAACGATAATCATCAGACTGCATGTCGACACTTACCTCATTGTGTACAAATAGTCTGAACCGCAAGCTTCTCAGCTGAAGCTCAATGTATTTTTAGAAACTCGGGATTATTAAGACTTCGTCACTTAAAATTTACAATGAAATGAAAGAAATAAAACATTCTCGGTTTAAAGGCATATTTTGAGTATATGAATCATGAGCAACTAACTAGCATTCCGCTGTTCGTGCTTGATATGACTTTCTACTCATCAGATCAAAATAGATTAGCAAAATCATTAACGCACATTGAAGAATTCCTGTCAAATTGCAATCTGTTCTGTTTCTTTATACGTCCATTCTGCAAACTTTCACTATACGTTCACTAATGATTAAAAACACATAAGGCACATAAATCAAAGCCGTAACAAATAATTTGTACTAGAATAAGGCATGAAAATAACAAGTTGCCAATAGTGCAACCAATGAAGATAATTATCCTTTAAGAGGGAAACCACTAGTTTATAAGCATGGTACACATTGAAACAATTGCGCTTGTTTTGGGCAAAACATGGAAATTCTGCCTCTATTACTCAGCTAATCTCGGAAGCAGCAATTACATTGCGCTCAGTCTTAATAGCTGAAAAGCATGCAGCCAAAACCGCTCTTAATAGACATTGATTATAAAATGATCCTGCTAGCTAGAATAGAATCGATTTGCAACCATTAAGCCATAGTCTAGGATTACGGAAGAATCAAAACAATCAAATCATAAAAAAATCTGTCAAGCTATGCAACAAAGCAATAAAAAATTGCAATTTGACAAAGAAATTACCAGAAGAACACGAAGCCATACAATACGGATGAATTCAACGATTTTTTTTCAATTAATTTCTAATTCTTCTTTAGTCTATCATACTCTAGACTACAATAGAGGGTAACGTTCCAAAAATTGACTCATCAAGGAGATATAGCCACAATATAAGGACGGCATTGTAAAAGAACGATTCAAGAAAGAGAGCGTTAATTAGTAGGAATTGTTATACTGCCTTTCAGTGGTAAAACCTTTTCAGAAAGGACATTAGGATATAATTATATGCATAAGGAGCGCTATTTTTAGAGCAGTCAATAACGAGAACTGAACGGTAGCATGTTTTTTATTGTTCTAGATTCCTTGTTTCTTCGGAAGTAAACCATAACTAAATGTTTTTCTAGCTGTTTTTATGAGAGATGTTAAACCACTTTGGGTGAAAATGAATTCGGACAATACGTAAATCACATTTTATATGCCGAAAAACAGCATTATGTAGGTGTAGAATTAAACTAACACAAATTAAAATTATTAATCACCAAGATCAGAAAATTGAAAAATATTCAAATAAGAACAAAGGACACATTTTAATTGTGAAAACATCACTAAATTAAATTCACTTCGTATAATTCCAGTAAGGTGATTCAAAACTCTTTGAAACAGATTCTCTTCGAAAAAATAAAAAACACAATAAATCACAATTTAACAGGATTAATCGAGAATACATCTATCTCTAACACTTCATCGGTCAGGTCAGTATTTATAAAACCATAAACTTTGACACAAAAAAAAACGCGCGCGGCACAACTCCGCAACAGAAAAATCCACAACTTTTCAGGAAAACTGATGTTCTTCGACTGACTCAATATTAGTCCGTGGCCTGTCTGTTTATTACCTAATAAATTACGCGGGGTGGCTGAAACTGTACGGTTGAGCGCTCCAATGTGATATACTATACGGGTTGTCCCTGTTTGAAACAGATACAAGAAGTTGTTTTTACCGAACATGTGGGAAATGCAGTAGAAATTTTATAGGTATAGATTTACAGTGTCATCATTTACTTTCTATAAACGTTGTTGAGCAGCAAGATAAATAAAACACTGGTTTTCAATGCTAATAAAAATTTACCACAAGTACTATAAATGAAATATTTGAACGGCACGAATAACTTTACAGAATGTGTACCCATTTTTGGAAGTAAAACTCTGTTAAGCCCAGAAAGAACATTTTTAAGTCCTTTGGTCTGCGTATAATGTGTACATGTCAGAACTTATATCAGTCCTTATATCGGACATTGAACTCAATGCTATGAAGTAAACCCATCTTAAAAAACGTAAATGATTAGACACATAAATAGAAACACAGCAAAAATGGAACATGGAAAATGGCATACCCGCGACTGCAATTTAAATATACATAAATGCTATCAATTGACTCAAAAAAAAATAGGACGCATGCATATTTCATAGATTCGATGTTTGAAAAAACTAAACACGATTAAAACTATGCAAAATTTCCAGGTCAAATAGTACAACTTGGTTTTCCAGTAAATATTCAATGAAAAAAATAATTTTAATTCAGCCCAAAAAATGTAATTCCTACTCAGTCCCCCTTTATAGAGCTCTTTATTATAAACGCACGAAACTGACAGAAAAATTCCGGGAAAAAACTCCTGCCCTTGTTTTGTCAATGCTTTATTATACCTGGAAGTTTCTGCATAAAATTACCATTCAATTCAATCGGGTTCTAATAAATCAGAAATCACACACGCACAGTAATTCGTCACGAATTGCCAATATCAATATGTGATTATTACCAGCAGAATCTATAAAAACATTAGGTTATTTCATTTAAATAATGGCATGTCATAGTTAAGAATATCATTTTATATAACTACTTACAACTAGTTATCGATTTCATTATGTTCAAAGGAGGCAAAATACAGACCCACGGGTAGCGAAAATTATGAAATAATTAAGGAGAACGGGAAAGAACATGCAGTGCTTTATATCAATAAATGTTCTTAAAAACAAAGACTGGATTTTTCAAAAAATTTGGTTCTGCCCTTATAACAGTCACAATATGTTCACGATAAAAAAAATTAATAAATAATACGGGATTGTGAACGCCTTGATCAAAATTGTCTCATCGGATATTAAGCTAACAGTTCTTCGCCTACAGTTCAATAAACTTGAAAATAATGATTGATTGTCCGAATTTGACCATCACACTACATTTAATGAATGTGAATTCGTGCTTCGTGAAGAACATAGCAATGAAGTGATGTAACAACATTTACTTTCAAGGAACATCCTGGGCACATTGAAACAATTGCAAACAATCCTAACATTAATTAATAAAATCCAAATCTACTGCGTTCAATCGCGCCAATTAAAACAAAAGGCGTATAGTTGCTTAATATTCAAACTTCTCAAAAAAAAGGATTTGAAAAAATATTGAATTATTTTACACTTAATTTAAAACGCAGAAGTTCTACATTCCCATTAGTCCTTGATACAAAATAAACGAAAATAAACCAAATACTGTAGGGTAAACAGTGAACACACTTCCGGTGCTATTTTTAGTAGCTGATATTTAGGGAATTATATTTTTTTCATCAATAGGAAGGATAAATTTGTAAATAGTTTGCCTGCGGGACTCGTTGCATTATGCCCGTGTTTATAATGATTATAAACAAAATATAATTAAATGTCTAGTAACCTGAAAGATTCACTAGCATCTCTCTGAATAAGGTTCTTGAGGGATTGGCAGACATGCAGGACGGTTTTGCTGGGTTGGGACTGGGGTTTGTTAAACTCAGGATTGAATCCAGGGTTTCCAATATTCTCAAATTCAGACCATGTGTTTCCATTACATTTGTGAAGTTGCCTAAAATTGAAAAGGTATAAACAACCTGGTAAACATACTAAAAGTGACCCCACATTAAGTAAAAAAACCTATATTAAACCTAAATTCACATTTGCTTTATTTTTGAACGAAAGAGGAATACCATTAATTTTTGAAGCCTTGATATTTACGTATAATAAAATGAAAATGACGTAAAAAATTTAAAAATCACAAATAAATTTGTATGATTTTGAAGTTTGCCACTTGACCGTTGGACCATGCTTAAGAACAAAGTTGAAATCGGATTTCAACTGAAATCGGACTACCATAACCTTTCAGCAAACTTCAATTGATCAGCTTTATTATGGCACGTCCAGGCCTAACTAGCGGAGCCCGAGCCGAGCCTGATTCACTGCCAATTCCGTTGATATTTCGTCAAAACACCGACTGAAAATCGATGGTCTGTCGGGGTTTTGACGAAACATTTGCCGCGACTCCGGCTCGGCTCGTTAGGTCTGGATGCGGCATTAGACCTCTACTTACATTCAGGAAACAAACGCTTACATCTAAAAACTTCCAAGTATTTTCCTGCTTATTTATGCTGTATCTCATACACAATAATATATTTACCAATCCAATATCACTTGTATGTGTCAGTTCAATATTCAAACACATATTGCGATAATAGTAACGACATTTTCATAACGAGATAATGATGGCAATTACTTAAATGAAAAATTCATTGAACTTCTTCCCATTGTCTTAAAAAGACCGTTAAAAATCACGTTTCGGTTGGGAGGTACCGAACAGTACGATTGGAATTCTGATTACGATGATTAAACAACGTTAAGACAATGGAAGCCCAATCAGATTGACTATCTACCACCCTCAAACCGTTATGGTAATGGATGTATTGACAATGTTAAGAACAGATAATTAGAAACGAAGATAAAAATAAAATAGGTAGAGCGGAAATAGCGGAATAAAAAACAGACAACAGCGTTCATATAAATAAATAACTAGGAATTTGAGGCGTCTAGACGTAAAACGGTCAAATGCAAATTGTACAGTAATTCTGAATGAAAATATGTGATGTCCCACGCATTATGCAAAATGAAATTAATGTATACATTCCAAGAATTGTAGTATTCTAATGACATAAAATATTTGAATAATTAATTCACTTTGAAAATTAATTGTTTTATCTTATGCTCTCTTATGCTTATCTTTCTCTGATGCTCTGTGATACAGAATAACTTAAGTGATTAAAGATTTATTTTGAAATCGCCAATTTAAAATATCGCAAACATTTTGAACATAATCAGCAAGCGTTCCATTATGTTGATTCACCATACTTTGAGGTTCCAGTAAACGAATATCTTCCAAAAAAGTACGTAATATGTTTGGTCAGGAATTTGCATAATTCTCGGCGTTTAATATCTTTTAATCTCTGGGGTTTAATATCTGGGAAAAATGTAGTGTTGCCTTTATCGGAATGGTTTGATTTTAAATAAACTATCCTTAGCTTGATACCCATATGAAAAATTGATATGCAAAAATACGTTTACTGCGATATTTAAAATGCCAGTAACTTCGCAAGGAGGAAATTTTCGAAAATTCCACAAGCCATTTTTGACTTTTTTGGTTGAAGAGTCCAAACGCGGAGCGTGGAAGATACAATTTTTGGACACCCGATATCACTACATCTAATAATGCCGGTTCTTTTCGCAAAGGTCCATCAACATATAAGGTAAGCAATACCCACCTACTGACTCGCATAGATGCAACCAATGTGATATAATATTGGGTTGAAACTTGAACATTACTTACCTAACTAACTTATCACGAACGTCGTTATCACCTTTAAAGCTGGCAGTTTCCTCAGACTTGAGAGACTCGGTTGAAGTATCTAAACTTTGACTAGAATTTTCCTCCATAGTATCGCTTACGTTCTCCATTGCTCACTAAGTGAATGTTGCACTAAAACTGAAACAAACAGACCTTGGATAAGCTAAAGAAGACTGCCTTAATTCGTATGATTTTCTTCCAAATAAGGAGCCCCATTTGAAAGTATAATTAATGGTTCAATAATGAATTACTGTACTCACATTTTGGTTGCTATGTTTGTAAATTTATATGAACATACTACTGGCAATTTTGCTATTTTCTCGCAGATTTTTTTTTGAATTGAGTTTTTGACAATCCTTCAAAGTTATTCATTTTTGTCTGGTTCGCCATTTTACATGTTTGCATTTTTTTTTTTCAAAATTACCTTTTTTATTAACATGATGTTCCCAAAGCAACTCCAAACCAGTAAATTAGTTTTGATAAAGAGCTTTATCGTTTTAAAATAAAACAATCTTATTTGAATAGCTTTGTTATCAGTGCTGCCAGTGTTCGTTAATTGAGTACTTTTTCAAATATAATTAATTTAATATTATCTAAGCGCTATAACAGATGCATAATTGGAAGACTGGTGTATTTCATCTGTGTAGACTTAACGAAAACTTACTCACCATTTAATTCAATTAAACTCTCTTTAAATTTAACAAGATAAGGGAACTATTTTATGAACTCACTACCACAGCTGATAGGTGTCACAACAAAAGCTGACAATTTTCAAAATGTCCGATGAAACTGAAAGTAAAAAATTGCCGCGACGTTAACAAATCGTGCAATCTGCGAAATAATTTTATATCGTCTTCACGTTAAAGGTTCAATTCGATTATATTAAAAATTTTATAATTATCTGTACCCAATAAAAAGGCCATCTCAAATTTTATTGACTTTATTTTTATCGATTGTGTTTGGCGGGATTGTGTTGGACAGCTTTCTTGCGGCTTGGAACCGTTTATGCCTCCCGATATATACAGGTATCTCAGAAAAAAGTACCGTAAACTCAGTGGCAAATAGACCGTGTCCGACAATCTCCAAAGTTAAAAAAGCAGCCCTTGAATTTAGATTTTTAAAATAATTTATATTTAGTACTTTCTTTGTTTGTGCACCGAATGTTTTCAAATTTGGCATTATTTCTGCACGTATTGCTCAGTATAACTGAGCCAAATTTAATATTCACCTATGAGTAATGCACAAAACGAAAGAACATATGAAAACGCAAAAAATGCTATTCTATCTGCGACAAATGAACCATTTGACAATCTTTTCGGGCTGAAAAATTAATATTTTCAATCTAGACTGTGATCTATGAACGAGTTTTCTTAAGCTAATAGAAATGTTCTTAGCAGTGGCATCAGCGCGGCATTCTGTTACTGCAGCAACTTCGATCATATGTTTTTGAACGACTTTTAGCGACTTAACCTCGTTTTATTTTCGGCATTTAAAAGTAAACTAAGAAAGTAGTGTTAGGTGTGAGTGGTTCCTTTTTAAGCAAAACACATTTTACGTAATGACTTGGTTTCGATGGTGGCACAAGCACGCCAGAATTTGGTTTAGTCCAAAGTCACCAGAGCAAGCTACAAAATGGACAAAAAAACTATCAGCAATTTACGTTTTCTTCGCTTGGAATGCTTTGGGCTTATTATACTTCAAATACCAATCAGAAGGCAAAAAATTACAATTAACACCTGAGCAACGGACAGGACTTAGTAAAGGTTTGTGTTCTAGCTAACCCAAATAATTAGAAACATTGTGCTACTCTGAAGATCGCAATACCTATGAAATAGCATATGAATAGTCTAATTAATGTCCTAAAACAAAAAGATTTCAGTATCATTGAAGTGACCAACATTCAGAAGTAACAAACTATGCTTTGCAACTAGGCACTTTTTAATAGAGCTTTAATACTTATTTACATTCTTTGTAATCCTGGTGTTGCTTTTTGGGAGTTATAAAATATAGATATAAACAATTTATTCAACTAAAAGAACGCACTTTAATGACGTCATGATAATGTTTGCAGGTCAACAAGAAGCTTTAGAACGAGGAGACCAGAAAGCAAAAATTATAAGAATAGATGGCTTTAATATTTCAGTACTTGATCCACCGGTTACCAAACTTGAGACAGGGCTCAATAAAGAAACACTAAAGAATTAAACGTGAACCTAGAAACTAAATAATGTGGATAATAAGTTAAAAGTTTATAGACCTAACAGGAAAGATTATGGCTATTCAAACTACTGAAGTATATACCTCTAAATCAGATCAAGGTGGAAAAATACCTGCATTTTTAGACAAACTTACAATATCAATGTTAACATGATTTGGAGTTTTAAATTTAAATATAATAAATGTTACGAAATTGAATGTATCAACGGAAACATCGTCATATGTATTATCTAATATTAATCTAATTATATTCGGAGAGTTATGTAGTGGTGTTTATAATATGTAGGAACGCGTTCATATCAGATCACAGCCTTGGGTTTGTCTGGTTTACCCTAAATTTTTCCATTTCCACCAGAAGGGATGCTCTAAAATAATACAAAGCTAATTTCAAATGTATTCCAAGAAAATGATTCATTTGCCACAAAAACAATAGACTTGCCTGTAAGTTTCGTATCTCATTACAATATTTTGCAGTTCTTGCTTGTAGAGCCTTGTGAGCATAGCATTATAGCACTCTAATTCTGATAGCCTAAACATATCCCATCTCAGCTTATGATCTATCTCTGTACTTGCTAAAACAGAGTAGGTAAATTAAATTAAGTTTTCTAAAGCTGCACATCGAGAAATGGGAATTGGAATATTGATCGATTTTGTTAAACTTCCTCTCCTAACTTTGAGCCAAATATTTCAGAAACCACTAGCAAAACGCTAAGCAAGAAAATTACAAATTTCTACATTCTGTATATGGCATGCGAAGCGTTTACGACCTTAAATACCCAAATAAGATAATCTAGAAAATCAGACTGCTATGTGCGAAAAAAACTTCTAAACCAACTAACAAGCATTCGAAACAATTCGAACAAATGCAGATACAATCTACGCTTTAAGAATCTGCAATATTTGCTGCTAAAATACACAAAAATAGGACTTATTGAGATTAAGATGCAGATTAGTTATTAGTTGACCATTTAAACATGTTACTTTCACTCAGCAGAAATCGGTTTTAACGGTTGGATTATGCGTTCCAGTTTAGTGAGCATATACCAAAAAGAGATACTATAGACTTTTTAAAATATAAATAACTTCCGGTTCTCGCTCAACTTGGAAGAAAAAAAATCGATTAATTACATATATATAACACTCAAAGCCAGGCCACTTTAAGAGCTTATTTATAATTACTACAAGTGCGTTATTTCGAAATGAAAATTCTTTTAAACAATCATTAGTGTTGAATGACTGCGTGTTTGGATCGTAAACTAACATTTTCGTATCATGTATTAAGCCAAATATCTAGACTTTCTTGTTCTAAAACGTCTTGCCTGACTTACCCAAGTTCTTAATGTTAATCGTTAAAAGAATCCTATTGTAGAGTATAGTATATCTATAAATACTTACATTTAAAATATACATTTAACCAATGCGGAATCTCTTCCATTAAATAAGGATTAGCCGGAACCAAAACACTATGCGGTTGATAATGAGTAGGTCTCATTGGAACGTACCGCTGGTAAGTTTGGGGAGCAATACTGCTGTAATTATAGCAAGGAACTAGACAAGGGTGTTCATATTGTGCCTGCCTTGTTATATGGCTGAAATATAATTCAAATGTTAGCCGGATGGATTTGCAATGAAAGCCGACAACTTACTTTACATAATATACACCGTAAATGGGACTTTGTATACATTGCCAGCCCGTAGGAAGCCCTTCTCGTTCTAGGGGATGTGACCAATGAGTGGTTTTAGTGTTATGGTCAATGTAATACTTTCTTCCCCTTAACGTATAGTCTACGGACCAACCAGGTGGCAGAGGCAGTTCTTCAGATGGCTCTGAAAATCACTTTCATGTTATGTTCGTTACGCTATTTTAACATTTCCTTGTTGTACCTTGAGTATTCTCAGTTCTACCCAAACTATGTCTAAGAGGATGAGCAATTGATTCTCCATAGGGAATTCCACTATGATATTGGCTTCTATTAAATCTGTCTATTTGAGTATTGCTATAAATGGGAGTGGATTGGATGTCTGGACCTGTCCTAAGGATACAAAAATCTATACATTGACAAAAGCAAAAATATTTTTGTACTGAATTTTTTACTTATGATTATTTATCCTACCTGGCTACGCTACTGTCTCGAGTATTCTGGTATATTGGGGAACTCGTCCTGTTATAGTTATCCTTGTATACATTGTTCTGGTCTGGCGTTAAAGGATATATTTGATCAATTTCAACATAGTTAGCATTATTCTGAAACGACGTTTCCCACCGTTATCAAAATGTAATTTATTCACTTTTTTTAAGTTTAAACTACCTTTATCACTTTGCTTTTGAGCTTGAGCTCAGCTTTTGAAAAACCGCCATAACAGCTCAATTGTATAATACATTTTTTTATGATAATTTTAATTAGTCAAAAAATCTACTTCCTGTTCCGAAGCCTAAGTTTTTTCGTGAAATAAATAATAAAATTATTGAGCTAGTTTTCCGATGATAAATTAATTAGCTTTTTTAGTAATTAAAAATAAGTAATTCTTTACAAAAAGTTATTCATAGTCTAGCGCTTAAAATAATGTTTAGCTGATTTTTATTAATTCCATGCAAAGCTTCTCAAAAAACGTGTACTTGGCTCAAGAGTAAATTAGATAATTATTTGGTATTTCGTGAAAAATTACGTTTTATAAAATCTTCCAAAATTATCCGTACACTTTTTATTTTACACAATCTATTTTTTCATAATTTATTAGTTTGATTTTATTACTTTTCTGAACATGCTTTTGAATTCTAATAAACTTTCCCTTGCAAAAAAATCTATATTATCAAGCTGAATTACTCCTAAAATACCTTGCATAAAACTGAAAAAAATACAAATCTGGCTTGTTTTAAACCATACAGAGCTTTTTATTAAGAATTGCATAATTTTTTATATGATTTCTATACTATGGCTTCAACTTAAGTGAACATACTGTATATTTAATATTATGTGTAATATTTTACGAATATTCAAAAACTTAAGTCCTATTAACATTCTATTAAATTCCCATTAAAGCTTTTTGGTTTTTCTATCACAGAAAATGAAATCATTCTTATCCCTTTAAACATAGATTTATAATGCTCAAACTAGCGAACAAGGAATGATAAATATTACCGATGTTTGAATTTGGACCAAAGTCAAGAGTTCATCTTGGTGTTGTTTATTATAGCACATCCATTAGGTAACATTTATTTGCAATATTAAATTCACTTTAGTTATTTTCTATTATGTGTTTTATTGGCGTCATTCAGCGCACAATTTACGTAAGTAACATATCTTCCAGACATAAATTAACAACATTTATTATATTATAAATAGTTGCATGATGAAAAAAAATTTGTAGTAATATTCCATTAATGCAGTTGCACTGATTCGTAAAATATGTGCAGTTTTCCACTTGGCGTTTGCAAAAAATTACATTTACCTTAAAAATTACTTACCGCTGATGAATCCAGATAAACATTAGCCAATGATTGGTTTGCATAAATATGATGCTGTGGATTACTATTCATGCTGTTTGCGTTGATAAAATTGTTTCCAGCCAATAATCCGGAACTGTTTTCTGGTATTGGACCCACAGATAAATTTGCAAATCTGGAAATATTATTTGATAAACCATTGGATTGTAGTTTAATGTAACTGAATATCTAAACAATGCCACATTATTCTAGTTCAGTTCGCAGTCAACTGGAAGCTTTAAGTAAAAAAATAAATACTGGTTTATATACAAATCATAGAGACCTAACTCCTAAATATTAAACAACTTCTTGGATTTAATGACCAATGGAAAAACTGGACTGATAATATTGGAATTTATTAGACAAATAAAGATTTATTTTTAATATTTGTATAAAACATTGCAATATGCTCTGAAAATCTAGCTGTGTCATTTACCGCAAGATTACGTTAAGAAAACGATTTTCTTGTTAACGCTAAGTATACAAAGTCGTTTCAAAGTAACTTCAATTTAATAATTGGGGCATTGAGGATACATGATTGATCAGCTTCTCAATGGGGTCAGGGGGGGTCAAGTAGTAGAAATTCAGTCTTTTGTTGTCTTGTTGTCTTTGAAATTAGAAAAATTATCGTTAGTCGACATAAACCCAGCACAAGGGGAGGGGGGGGGGTCGTGACCCCCTTGGGTATGTGAGAACAAAAAAATCATAGCTATTTGGAAAGCTTCAGTACCTAGCGCCAAATAGGATAAAAAACTATTGCATTCTTGCTTACTTTGTGGCCAAGTCTGGTACAGAAGCACTGGGGGTGTATTTCCCTTCGTGAGCACCCAAACCAACATCACTAATGGTAGTTTTCTGGTTACCAAACTTCTGTACAGTTTGAACAGCATTGCTGTTTTGCGATGGTTGTGACAAACCTTGGGGTGGAAGCGACGATCTGCTTTGACTTGAACTACGTCTCTTGGGCTCAGTGGTCCAAACATTAATTACTGAATAAGTGAAAAAGAAAGGTTTTATTGATGAACGTTCCTTAAAGGTGGAACGTGACTTACTTGGCATTTCAGGCGGGGTATCTTTTTTGACATACTTTCCCACAACGCCATCCTTAATAGCCCTTAGATCCTTATTCTTCCTGGACAACATTCTGAAAAGTTGAAAGCTAAAAAGTTAATAGCACGATTGTGCAACCCATACAAAAACCCAACAAGTTTGCAGCTGCGATATTTATGTTGGGGGTAACTAGTACAAAGCACTAAACATCGGCGGCACCGAAAATTACGTGGAAAGTGCCAGAAAAAGTTGTTTAAAATTCCAAGAGCAACTATCCTGTGTTGATCTATTTAAACATGACTTCTGCCTTTGTAGCCGATTTTATTGCTGGCTGGGTTGGTGGTAAGTAAAACACATGCTCACTTTTCATGTTAAAAAGAAATAATTCACTGGTTTCGCGGAAATGACCGATTTTTTCAATTAATTTTGCCAGAAGCGCTTTGTTTACATTAGTTCATTAGTCAAAAGCTTATTTTGGAATTTCCTGATCTGTCAGTTAATTGACGTTAAAAGTAGGTCTGAGACGTAGTCGACACTCAAATCGAGTTATATTAAATGGTATTTTATTTCCCGTAGAAAATTAATACATCAATCATAATCAAAAGATATTAACGCACGCTCGAATCCGTGTTTAAACGCTAATTTTCATTTCAACGCTGTGCGAAACTAGAATTGGTAAAAACAGAGATACAACATCTTAGACGGCTTCCTGTCCTTTTCTCCGGGCATATAATTAAATTGATAGAAGCTGACACCGGATAAGCCCAATACCCAAACAATTGTTCGCCTTTACCAATAGATGAAGAGCGGTGTATTTCTAATTCAACGATTTTTTAGGCATTTTTTGCGTTGTAACTGGCTATCCATTTGATACGGTCAAAGTTCGACAACAGAACTTTTCAACATCTTTTTGGGTAGCTGTAAGGGAAACGTTCAAATATGAAGGTTCCCTGGGTTTTTTCAAAGGCATGTCCTCACCTCTAATTGCATATGGACCAAGCAATTCCTTATTTTTTGGAGGCACTGGACTTTTTATGAAATTGCTGAGTGGTGCGGATCAAGCAGATCTAAACTACAACCAACAGCGCACAAAGTTCTTGTGGAACATATTCGTATCGGGTAATATTCCTAAAGTGTAAATCACTACAACAAACGTATTTTATCTTTGCTGTAGGATGCTTTGGAGGGTTTTTGCAAGTCACATTAATGTGTCCAGTGGAATTAGTAAAAATTGCTTTGCAAACTAGCACAGAAGACAAAAGCCCCTGGGTGCACAATGCAAACGCTTTAAAGTTTGAAGGTTCCATTCACACGTTCAAGACAATTTTTGCTCTTAAAGGACTTCGAGGGCTGTACAAAGGATTCGTTCCTATGCTCATAAGGTATTATCTACAGTGTCGTTATTATGCCTGTTATTAGGCATAATAAAACGATTGCTTAATTTTTTTAAATCTTGATTTGAGTTCAGCAACATTTTAGCATTTAAAATTGGCTTAAAAAATAGGGGATGGTTCCCCGTAATTATTGAAGACTACTATTTAGGCTGAAAGCAGCTCTACCCATGCTTCCGCAACATATGGAGTGTTGAACTTTGAAGAAAGTTTTTTTTATGTAACTTCTGAAAGTTTGCGGGCATTCAAATTTAATTTAGAATGCAGTTTAAACTTCAGTATTTATATCTATCATTGAGCACTCCAAATGATTGAGAATCTACAGGCTGATTGTTTTAAGCGCTGTGGTACATAAAAATGCGTTTTTCTAACACTCATAGGCATAGAACTTTGCGTATAATTAGAATATTCCAATAAAAAAATGTAAATGATCTGCCGCTTCAATTTGAGACACCCTGAATCAATTGGTATTACCCTAAAATAAACTAGACGTTAAAAAAAAATTGAAAATAGATGTAAAAACGGGATGAAAAACTTTGTATATATATTTGGACGTAGGTAACTGCTATATTCGAGCGCTAAAAACGTTGCTCTTTTATAGAACATTTGTAAATGGCCGACATCGCTTTACTAAATAATATAATATACAATAATATACAAAAAAAATGTTAACGGATTCGAACTTCTCGCCTAAAAAAATCTGATACAAAATTTCGTTCAGATTTTGTTTGTAATTAATTAATTAATTGTATTAACGTTGTATAACTATTGAATTACAAACAAAAATAAAGCAATCAAGGGTTGAGCTTTTGGGACCAATTGGTGAGTTTCTCGCGCCGTGAATGACTTGCATCTTCAGATAAGAAACAACTCAAAGATGCATGCCACTCGTGCTCGGGAAGCGCAAATAAATTTTTTTTCGCGACACTAAAGATCCGAAAAATGTATCAGTTCCCTAATAATTAATATTTTTGAGTTTTTCATTTTAACTTTGGTGCTCTGTCTCTTTAAAACCGTCCACATTTGGCATAATTCGTCCTGTTTTCACTACAGGAATGTGATACGATTACCAGATATTTTATATACCTGAAGGATATGATCAAGAATCGATATCTGTTCAAGAAATCGAGGAAACACCAACCTACTAAAAAATAATCCTGCAGATTCGCTATGTTAACACTATGTACTAACAATCAACAAAAATTAGAAATTTGTTGTCATCCACTTCCGTATCTACATGAAAATGTAGAATACTTTGCATGCGTATGGTTAGGAAACGTATTTCTTCGCCTTCAAAAAAAAACTGCTTTAAAAAATGCCTAATCGAACTTATTTTCTAGAGCTTTTCTTATATAAATTGATCCAAAAATTACTGTGGCGTTCCCAAGAGCAGGAAGTTGTGATTATTAACATACTTAAGAAACAGTAAAGACGTAAAAATGGTTCACTGTTGCACTAACGAATTTATTTTTTGTATAATCATAACGTTTTAGAGACGTCCCTACTGGTGGAATTTACTTTGTGGTGTATGAGGGTTTATTGCCGAAAAATAGAGAAGATGTTCAATGGTATCACAAAATCTGGGCCGGAGGATGGGCAGGTACATACATGTTAAAACAACAAGAAATTATTCCTTTCCAATGTGTTTTCTTAATTAAATAATCCTTTAAAGGAATTGCTTCTATATCAACAGTCTTACCAGTAGACGTAGTGAAAACTCGAATGCAAGCTGACGATCTCCTTTATCCAAATTACCATAACATGACAGACTGTATCCAGAAACTTTACAGAGAAGAAGGCAATTTATTAGTGTTATTGCAAGTGGATAATTATAAATCAAAACTTTCAGGAATCAAGTTTTTCTGGAAAGGATTGCCCGTCATTACGGCAAGAGCGTTTCCTGCACACGCCATGCTATTCATAGGATATGATATGACTATGATTTTCCTAGGTAGTAGAAGATAAATTGAATGTAGATTTCCGTAATTTTAAATATTTTCATATGGAACCCCAAAACTTTGGCTCCGTTTCAAGTGTTTAATATATTTCTTACATTGGACTAGAGGAATTGTATTAATGCAGTATTAGAAAATTTTCTGAAGGACGAAAGCATAAAAAGGCGTCGACTTTAAAATGAGAATATTTATTTACGTACTCCCGCACGTACATTGACAAACTGCAGATACTATAAATCCTCAAATAACGAGGTAATTAGCTCTTATACAAATTATGAAAGTTTATAAATGTATTGATTTGCTTTAATTTCACAATGTTGGGTAATTCATCAAAACAAACCTAACAACTAAATTAAAATTAGTTCACAGTTTCCGCAGATAGAATTGGAGTATTTTCTTTCCTAACAAGTTTAATTTTACACCTAGTTTAGTATCCTTTTCAATAATATAAATATGGATGAGACTTGAAAATATTTACAATTTCCACATATAGGTAGTTTTAGATTCTCATATACATTTCCAAATAAATAGCAAAAACATTGACGAATATGAAAAGGACGCTAGAAAAGCTCATCGTAGTGCTAATGTTCAGAAATTTTCTGTGCCACAACATTATATCCTAATTTAAAAAAAAATATATACCATTCTAATAAAATCTTGTTAATATCCATTTGTTGGGCACTCTATAAGAAAAAAATAACTTTTTTCTCTAAAACCACACATAATTTACATCAGTTACGAAATCGAATAAATATAAAACAGCTAACACAAAACACGATCTTATGATTGTGAGTAAATTAAATTGAAGCTATATGTAGGTCACATGTACCGAAAATACTCCACTCTAATGCCTCCTACAAAGTAATATAACTATTTAAGAAAATAATAAAACTTTAACAATATACTTTTCATATATTATATCTACAAGTTTTATAGTGGTATTTAATTAATATGTTACATACCATTATAATAAGGGCGAATTTTTTATATGATTTTTTAAATTTAATTATGGCCCTAAACTTATTCACATATTAGCAGGGAATACTTCTAATTTTTCATTTACAGGTGCATATTTTTATCTTTTCGAAACATACAATTTGGATCTAAAATTTGATGTATAATAAAATAGCAAAACATCCTTAACATCATTATCATAATTACAAAACATATACACCTGCAAACTAATGAGTTAGGGTAGGTTTACGTTCAAGATTGAGCTCGCCATGCATACTTGGGGTATGTTTAAGTTCTTACTCTATCTAAATACAATGGCTATATATTTAAATTTACCGTCTTCCTTAGTACAAAGCTTTTCTCTAAAGTGAACGTAATAGTGCTTCTAGAAAGGTCAGTTGTGAAGTGCCTCCCTATACAGATGTATAAATTGTGATTTTTAACTTTTTTAAAGCATTGTTACAAGTTTCATTGTAGAAAATGTTTTCAAAAATACCTTTTCCATTCTTCTCATCAACAAATTGTTGCAGTAATTTTTATTTATTTATTGGTCGCAGTATTTCAGAACCCAACATATGGCATGATATATGTTTAGATATTTTCAGGTGGCAGGCTCATGGGTGATTTTCTAATTTAGATACAATACAATTTACAAGCAATTTTAAATTAATTATTTGGCAAGTAGAAGTCAGCTGCGACACACTTTAGTTTCCAAGTGTTCATGTTTCAAAAATAAAAACACCAAAAATCAAAATTTCAACAAAACAATTATTCTGCGAAAAAATTGGGGATATATTCTTCGATTAAAAATCCATGAATTTTATAACATACAAACAACGGTTATTTAATAATCCCTTTTCGGCTATACATCCCTAATCGATTAATGAGAAATATAGATCATTAACTACTAACAGGTTTGTAACAAAATAACTAACTTTCAACGTTAAACAACAGTTTTTTCATTCAATCGTATTTAAAGCTCTACTTTTAACAGTGCCTTGACAAAGAAATGTCTTATCAAGTCAAATTAAACACACAAATAGGTAATTCTGCCAAATTTAGTTAACACGATTATATGTTTTACGTATATATAATTTGAATTAGTTAATGAAACATATTGCTTCCTCTATCGAGTTGCCCCTTTAAATGAAATGAAAATTCTGCATTTGGTTTTTGCGTATTATGTTACAATGATACAAAGCCAAAGTACAACGATAACTTTTTGAAGAATTAAACTTTACTGCAAGTCTTACAGTCTCAATGCAGAGTAAGTTTTCCTTCGTAGGCAATTTTTACACAGACATATTGAATACAAAGAAAAACAGTTCTTGATAGAAAACGTTTTCTCTATAACAAAAAATTCTCATTACCTCGTAATTCTAATAGGTAAGATGCCGTCGCACATACCAATTTGGATGTTGACATGTTTAAGAGCCCATTCAATATGTCTATACGAATCTGAATAAAAAAATAATGTCGATTGAAATGAAATAATGATAGAGCTTTTGCTTTCTTTAACAACAGGTATGGCATCCAGCAACACCCGGTTCCGATTAATGAGAACAATATGTGAAACCTAGAATTGTAACTAAATTATGTTCTAGCTTAAAGCTTAATTTCGTAAATGATGTTAATAATAAATATACATGTGACGATGTAATTATGCTATTCTATTGATCAATTGTGGCTGTTTACTGAAGGACGGTTTCATACATATCAGCGAAAACTTCTTAGCTTGAGATCTTAAACATGTCGCTCTATTTCTAACTGTTTAAATTAATCCTTCTCGTAGCTTATATACAGTTTCCAAAGAAGTATTTGATTCCTAAAGCACATTTGTCCATTTACAGCTACTTTTAAGTAGAAGACAGCACATTCACTAAAATGTTAAAATGTACAGTGATTGCAGCCACGATGAGTTTTTCTAAGGTCGGTGATTTTTAGTAGTTTATAAGTTCCATTTATTCGGGCCGATTCCTGGCTACGCCACATCAGCTGTTAAAAATCACATCATAAATCATTGTTCTAAGGAATGTGTTAAATTTTGAGAATTGTAACGGATCGTTAGGCATCATTTAATGAGTCGCCATAAATATAGCCATTAAAACTCAAAACTGCTCAAGTTGCAAAAACGAAATGTGTATCTATGTTATTAAAATCAAGCTGTATGATCAACTCGTGAAGAAGTCCAAAATTTCTCATTCAAAATTCCAACTTACAAATATTATTTTCAAAAATGTGGAAACCTTTTTTTTTGATAATTTGAATTGAATTTTAATGCTGATATTGCTGCCTGTTATATATTATATCTGGATACTTCAATGATTAACATTTGGATGACTAAGACCAAGTAAACGTTTTAGTCCTACAGTTTTAAGAATAGAATAACTATTTTTACGATATTTGGGATGACTTAGTGTAAAATCCGTTTATAACGCCGAAACTGTGCGAGGTTCCTTGCTTGGGCGTTACTGAACTTATTACGTTTCGTGTTATAAATTTTTCAACGTACACTTGTATGAAATTGAACCATTTTGAAAATACTAAAAGATTAATATCGAAAAATTTGTTAAAATGGATGCAAACGGACTAAAGAATTGTGAATTTTGATCAGGATGTGTAAAAATACACAACGCGTTCCATAAAACCGAATCACCCTGAATAGATAAAAAATGACTATTTTAACATTAGAACTTCAAACAGTTCTATCTCGAACAGTTTGGCTGCTATGAACCGATACCGCACTAACCAGTGATCTTGAATAGCGATGCATGAACAATCCAGAAACTTAGCAAATGCGAAAAAAGTATTCTATATATAAAAAAAAATTTTCAGATTCGTGACATATATACTTATAATAAATAAATAAAAATAAATTAGAACAAGCAAATAAAAAAAACCAAAACCTACTTGCTGGAAAAAAACATATATTACACTTTTTAAACATGATTTTTCAACACAAGAAGTGCTACTAAACTAAACACTACGTTTTAATAATATTTAATATTCATCTTTTTACAACATTTTAAGTAAATTAATTAAAAGTTAATTTAAGTTTAGGTACGGCACGGTATGCAGTCCAAATTGGTAATATTCTATGTGCACACTAAATGTCTTTTTTTAACTGACACTATATGGTTACTTGAGATGAAATCTACAAGGAGCTGATTTTGACATGTTATCCAATAAAGCGGCTTGACAGGTCTTACGTTCTAAAGGGAAAAGAAAAACTTTACAAGCGCCAGAAAAACAAAACATGAATTTAAAAATCACAAACATTTCTTTGGATTTGATGATGAATCTCTGAAATGATTTCCAGAGATAAAAGAACAATCATGGCACTTACCGTTCTAGTCTAGACCCGCGTTACTCTTGCAACGTATCACTTCTTGCCACTGCCAGGTGGGTTGTTGTTCTGGGTAGCAGTCGCTCCACTACCTGGAGTCGATTGGGCAATTGAACTACTCAAACCCGTGGAATTGGGCACACTCTTGTGATTCAACTCTAACTCAGCCAGACGTTTCCATAACTCTTCTCTGTCTTTTTCCCGCTTTTTTTCTCTGCAATGAATAAAAACTGTATCAATCCCCAATTGCCCAACAACACCAAAACATTTTTCAATTTAACGTGAATAGAAATAACAAACAACTTACTTTTGTCTTTCCGCTTTATAGCTAACCGTAAGTTCATCAAAGAGCTTGGAATTCATATCCATAAATGTTTTCAGCACATTGTAGACCAACGCCACAATTGTCTGATTCCAGTGCTCTTTTGAGATCCGATACAGGGCCGGAAACATTATCGGCATAACCACGTGATTATTTTCTTCCATTAAGGACATGATATATTCATTATTCCAGAAATATAGAGCCCGCTCTGCCACCTGAAAATTTAAAAAAACACCAATTAAATACTATTTGGTGGGATCTTCTTCCGCAGCAGAATTTTATGTATGTACTTATTGACAAGATCATTTTCAGCTTAATAAAAAATATTGCAATGATCACTATACTTTAACAAAGGGTTTCAAACACGATAGTTCTATTTACCTGAAAATGGGGACTCGAGACGCACTTAGCAATTTGTCTAAATAAAGGTTCTTGAATACGCGTAAATTGAGATGGTTCGATTACATCTAAGACTTCCTCAATCTCGCCCAAAAACATCACCTGAAAAAAAAATTGAAAATTAGTAATTAAATGCCGAATACTTCCATCGAGACTTCACACCGGAAATATTTAAATATCAAATAATCGATCAACTGAATCTATAGAATTGAAAAAAATCGATTTGTCTAAAAATCTATAAAAAGCTGCTCAAATTCAATTTATTTCTATAGTTTCAATTCCAACGAATGTTTGGATTCGAATCTAAAATTTCAAATTATAAGTAATTGTCTACTTGGCGCATTTTTTTCTAGATTTATGGTCACTTTTTCACGTCCGCTATTCATAGTTTATACTATTAATGTTTACAATAATCAGTTCTGAATTAGCTTTATAATGATAGAAATTACAGGTTATTTAATTAATGTAAAAAATTACAGCGTGCTTCAGAAAAACAGTAAGACAGTAACAAGAGTTCGAGAAATTTCAAAATCTTTAGATTCTTTAGAAAATACAGGATTAAATAAATACTGAAAAATATAGTACATATAATATTATTTCGGTCAGTTTATAAAAATAAAATTTAAATTTTATAGACAATTATCTTTCACAGAAAGTAAATGAACTCATCAGTTATCTATTGATATACCAGGTTCTTAAAGACAAGATTATTACTTAATTAACCCTCATTAGAGATAAAAACATAGAAAAGAAACTAATAAACAATTCGACAATAGACTACATTGTCGACATTTTTTTTAAATACGAACGTATAATCTGTAATTCCGTTTGAGGCTCCAAGAAATACCTACTTCATTCAAATTCAGTATGTACTTAAAAATGGTTGTATCTTAAACATCTTTATCTGGTAAACGAAGATTTCGCAACCCTAGTTTGTATTGTTTTTGCTCGTTATTTAACGAGAATTTTACAGTTAACACTATGCAACGTAATTTTGAATAACCCTACATGTACAGGCATGAGTTTAGCTTTGAAAGTTACTAATAGTTGTTTTTTTTTATTTAAATTCCCAGTACTATTTTCACTTCATTGATATGTCTTTCTTACCTCCTTCTGACTGCAAGTTTTGGGCCAGTACTTAAGCAGACCCCGCACAACGGGCTCTGTTAAAGTGGGGTCTTTTTCCAAAAACTGCACAACGCAATAGGCTAGTTGCGCGTGATACAAAGACAGGCACTTAACCTTGTGGAGGGGGATGAGCACCTAATAAAAAATAATTTTCGTTCAAATTAAGTTTAAAAAATTACATTCGACTGCAGCAAATTTTTCAACGTTAAATAATTAACAAGACCCAACTGTACCATATTGCTTCTTTCTTTTAACCAATAATCAACAAAACAATATACAAAAGCAATTCCCAAGAATTCACAAATCGTTGATAAACTAGGCGATAATAGGTTTTTATTAAACATAGGCTAAAAGTAGCCTGCATTCAAACAAGTAGAAAATGTTTGCAATTAATGTGGATTAAATTATTAATCAAATTTGCATTAGATCCTAAACCGCCGATAAATGATAATAAAGTCAGTAGTAGCAGTAGATTGGAAACAACACATATTTACTTACCTTGACCAGGAACTGTTTGTGTTCTTGCTTAAGCGGTAACGCAAAACCATTAATAATAGATCCCAGAATTTCTAGGAGTTCACCGACTCCATTGAAATGTTCAGTCTCATATACGAATCTGCAATTAGAGTTGTTTACTATCGAAATTGATTCAAATTATATAATGGCTGATGTCAACAAACAGAATAATGTGTATGAAAGGTTACACACCGTTATGTAACTCAGTGAGCAGCAATTGAATTTGAATATGATCAGCTAGCTTATTTGATGAGACAATCCCGAACACATTCCAGATATAATCAGTATTCTAACCAGAATTTAATGAAAGTTCCAGCTGCGTGCACTAAATGAAAATAAAGTCACATTTTCATATTCCACCTGCCCAACCAGATGTTTTTTGTAAACTAATATTGGACCCTAATTTGAAATTTAGATTACCACCAAATTCCCAGGAATGAGTTCGAGATTATTTCCACAAGCAAACGCTGAAATAACGTTGTGAAAGAAGACTCATTTTAACATAACTCGTAGTTGCATATATTATAAACTTCACGGAACCATTATTAAACCATAAATTAACCCTATTGCATTTCATAGCAATACCAAGATGAGAATTTTAATGGAAAATGTGATATTTCAGTACTAACGCTTATGCAAATGCTCGTTGCTGAAAATATAATCAAAAGGCAACACTTGCTTCAACATGCAGAGTGGTCCCATCAAAATTTAAGAAAAAGCTTCTGGTAGGTGTATGGAAGATATACGATCAAACTATTTCCTTTCTACGAGAACAGATTGCTAACTTAAACCACATTATACAGAATGTTTTAGCAGCAAAACGTTTTAGTAGGTGACATTCTTCCATTGCGATGTTATCTTCAGATCTTATCTGGGTTTTTACAGAACACATAAAGAACTATTCCAATTTCGATAGGTTGATGTTTTAGAAAAATTCATTGAAAAGCCGGATGCAATCACACTCTGGCATTAGCAACACTTAGTAAACGAGTATAGGGCAACAACAGTTTTCAAAAAAATGACTACTTTTTGTCCTTACAATAAATTAACTCTAGTGGTAAGCTAAAGAAGTAAATTTACTATACGAATAAGACAAGTTTTAATGTGGTAGTAATAAGTGCTATAAATGAGTGGTGTTCGTTTTATCATGAAAACCATTTTTTTTATCATTACAACTCATGACGATTCCACCCAGAGCTTTTGCTTAGTTATTCTTTATTCCTCTGTAACGAGGTGTTGCTCACGAATTGGAAAATTCATCATAATGCGAGCAGTATAATTTCAATGTTAAACAGAGCAAGATCAAACGAATAATTCGTAGTGACTAGTATTCGTTAACATAATTTTTGATACAAGAAGGATTGATAAAGGCAGATGAGATTTAATAGACCAGATGTTCGTTTTCTAACGTTTCATATTGAAACATAGACTATGGACATTCTGAATATCTAACATGAAACCTTTGGCAGTATGTCGCCAACCCCATTCTCTTTAATTTTCTACACTAATTGACCCCCAGGTTGAAACAAAGCTATCGATATCACTAATAAAGAGAGAAATTTGAGACAACATTCTTACCTAAGAAAAATGTTGTTAATCTGCTTTCGTATAAACGCACGTAAACCCAAGAACTTTCCATAGATACGATGCAGGACCGTCTTCAGGAAGTCACGTTCCCGGGGATCTTCCGAATCGAATAGTTCCAGCAGTTGCAATACGAACTTTTGATCGATAACGCGTTTGCCTATAGTGGGTTGAAAATCTGAACTCTCCAGGAATCTACAAACAAAGACAGGAACAATTAAATTACATTTAATTCTAATTTCCTTTCTATTAACTATTGCTGGTTGGTTGCAAACTAATTCGTTGAAATAAACTTACCGTAAGAAAAATTCATAAACTAGTTGAAGATGCGGCCAACTTGCTTCTAATGTTGGATCATCCTCCTCTGGGTCAAAATCAGGATTCTCACTGGGCGGTAGAGTTCTAAACAGGTTAGCAGAAATCTGAAAAAAAATCGTTAAATTAAAAACGCAATTGCAAAAAAATGTGTGATACTTAAAGGATTAGTATCAGTTCCATTTAGCTATTAAGTGTCCGTTTGCTACTAAGAAGCGCTATTTAACCGCGGAAGTGTGCCCATTCATCTATAACGACTGTTGGAACATCGGCCAGATAACAAAGATACCTAGGACTTGGCAGATTGACAAATAGAGTTTAAGAAAAGCCCGCATCTATTGTAGCGAATTTCGTGATTTACGGCTTATTTTGTAAATAAATCCTCGAAAAATAGACAGTCTGCTGTTTTCGAAAATTAAATAACACCTTTATGCCAGTTAAATTCAAACATTGAAAAATTAACCTCATCTTGTAAAAATAAAAAGGAACGTCTGAATCATTGATTTATAAAAAGACAAGTATATTGAATGTGTCTGTTTTCGTTTTTATGATTTAACGTGTTAAAACCGGACAATCACTTGGAGTGTTGTATATTTGTTTTTTTATTATACATAAACATAACAATAAGCACGACGCGCAGGACTAGATAACGTGGACTTGTAGCAGGCAACGTATATCTTTTCAAGAAATGTATAAAAACGCTTGATGTGATTTATGGGAACTTGACATAAAAAGATTTCAGGAAAATCGCGTGGGTTGACATCCTTTATAATGTAATCAGTTTTGTACTAATTGTATTAAAAAACCATTAGTTAAAACATGGATTTAAACCTTTAAAATCCAGCGGTAGCAATAGAATATTTATATAACAAAGAGAAAATCCTATTTTAAATTAAATAATCTGAGTGGAAGCAATATGTAGGTACGTCCAAGAAAAATCACCTATATCTGTTTTTTTCGTCAGAGTTCCGTAAGTCAGTCGGGTCGCATTCGGTTTGGCAGGAGATTGAGAATTCCTGAACGATGATGCAGGTTCGACGACGAACTTAATTAGACTGTTCAATTAAAAAGCGAAAAAGCGCCGGCTTGCGTAAACGCCCAAAAATATGAATGAAATTTTCGATTTAATATTATTTGGTAAACAAGTCAGTCACAATGTCAGACAGTCACAGGTATGCATCATGCATTTATATATACCGGCAATTCCTTCTTGGTATCAAGGTTAAAGCATTCAACGATCAGCCTCTATTGATGACGAATCTATTAGAGGCACATCAATTTTTAATGCTCTAACTATCGACTCTAACATTTTAAATCGAAGAGAAAAACTGTTAGTAGACATAATGTGCTTTTGTTTTGTAATGCATCTGCAATGAATGATTGAAGGCGACTCTCAATGCAGATGATGACGATATCGACAGACATGAAGACTAAAGATCTAAAACACGCTTAAAACACGATATGCATAAGAAAGGAATTTGAAATTTATTGAAAAAAATATTACCACCAACAGGCTGTTTATTCTTGCCATATAAAAATACTTCAAATGAGTCGCGTTACTTACTTAAACCGGTTACTACTGATACTGGTGAAGAATAAGGTAAGTCCAAGATTCTGTTATCTAAACTAAAATGTAAACGCATTTTCGACCATATAAACATCCTTGTAAAAATGTGTGTAGTTTCGTTTTTAGTTGGGAACATTTGCTTCCAAGATATTGATGTATTTAAACCTTGGACATCACCAAAGGCGCATTCCAAAATGATAAATCATAAAGCATCATTGTTTTCCGATAAGATACTAATGGAGTCTTACTTTGGTAAATGAACGACACTTACCATTTTTATGATTTCTGGATAAACCGGTTCGGTAAGCACACCCCGTCCTGCGGTTATGTAGTCGACCAGCTCATTGAGGGAACACCTTTTCACCTCCTTGCCTTTGAGGTCGACCACCGGGTCCATAAAATCGAAAGGTACACAGCACTGCCGCAACTTTCGAATAAATAATTCTTCTTGTTCACTAGCTGGGACATCTAAAACAAAAAATGTACACATTAAGTTTTGTCACAGAAAATGTACGTAAAATTATTTAGTTTCATACCTCGAACGCGTGTTGTAATAAATTTAAAATAAATACGAATTAGTGATTTTTTTGCAACAATTTAACCATCATTTCTATTCCTAACTTTCAAATTCAAATTAGCATTTACAGCTTGAACATTAAAATAACTAAAATTATAATTAGACCCATAGAAATAAACAGCGTTAATAAATAAATACATGCACATATTGTGTACAGAGTGGACACAAATCGTTATTATGGGTTATTTCTGCAACTGAAGCAATTGCCAACAAAAGGAACATATGCAATGGTGATGTTTAATTCGCTTATTAGCATCACATTATTAATAGCAATAATATTTATTTCAAGAATGACGCGGATCATAAATATTGAACTAAAAGCAATAGTTTAAGTTGCGACCAACTACATTTTAATTTCTTACTTGGTCTTAACACAAAGAATAATGTGACACGCTCTAAAAAATGTTTAACACGTTAGCTGTTTCAGCAGCTTTGAAAAAGGCGGAAGTTCAGAGACATCAAAAAGAAAACGATTACATATAAAATAGATCTAGAAAATATAGTGTTTTTAATTGCTTCATTTCGCATCATTTAAAGTTCCAAAATATGTTAAGCACAATCTTGACAATAAAATCAAATATGTAAACGCAAAAAAGTCCTGAAAAAGCATTATCAAGATATTTACATAATGTACAAGTTGAATTAAAATATTTTAATACATACAAAAACGAATTAAAACCTTTTTCCATATTTTAACAAACCGTATCAAGAAAATACACCTGTTCCGGACATAAGTTCAAAAAGGGCATTGTTAGCCAATATTAAATATATTTTGCCACAAAGCACTTGGACTTAACCAGAGAGTGGCGAGTATTATCACTTCATCACTATCACGAGTACATCATTATACCTACATTTTATGTAGAATTCCAAGTAACTTTTTAAATGCTTGACCAATTTTTAGTTAATAATCATCTTCTAGTTACCTATGGATTCCAAAACACCTAATGATAGAGCTATCGAAACGTTTCGCTAATTCAATGCGACAAGTTTCGAAAAAAGTGAAATACACATTGAAAGACAATTTACACACAAGATTCACTTTGGCCACATGATGAGATATTTTCAAATATATCGAACTGTTTGTCATTAATTCCTATAGGCAAATTTTGAATAATTTATTTTCATATTTTCGTGATATTGAAAATATTACTTCAAAATAACATATTGATAAAGTTAAAATTAAAATTCAAAGTTAGACTTTAATCGGTCAAACCTTCACTAGACAGTATCTAAGAGCGTTAAATCTGGCAAACGAGATGGCCGCGAAACTGATTAGACCTTCGAATTATTATGTGCACTACTTACCCTTTCCAAGTTTATCAAATTTCATTTCAATAGTCATTTTGTGTATTACTTGATTGAAAATTTGGTAGTTGCTCAATTAATGCTAATCGAGTTTTTTTTCAAGTTTCAATTAAACCATAAGATATTCAATAGATAGTTCTGAATTAAAACAAATTATAGTAATTAAGCTGAAGTGCGAATTTGACATACCATATTAAACCGTGTCGGTTATTCAGTGCCGTTCAACCATCACATTAAATTGATTTTTGAAACCGGAGTATACCCAGCTACAATTCTCACAGTCCAAGGTCTCGGTCAGAGACTAGATTAACTGATTTTAAAATAAAACCGAAACGCTGTTCGGTATGTACGAGCTGCTTTAAGTTTAACAGATGTTTGATATCCGATGCTTTTGGTCCGTCAGGGGCGTTTGGGCCCGTCTGTTGGAGACCTCGTTGAATTTTCACATTACTAACTATTTATCTAGTCCTATATAATCATAGTGTATAATTGTATGCATCCAAATGAGAATCCAATTTCTCAAAAGCGATTTATCCGATACGAATGTAGATAACGTCAGCATTAACGTATGAGGCCAGTACGTTACGCAGTTGTATCAAAATTAGAATGGGATTCATAAATAAAACGACATTTAATTAACAACGGCAGTACTTTCAATCTAGCGATAATACCCACAATATTACAATCAGATAATTTTTTGTCCTTGATGATTAGATGGTTGTTGATTGCAGGCATCTGTTTCATTATGATTAACAAAAGGTGCAATTACTAGATCCAATGCAAAATCAAGAAGCTTTTTCGGTTGATATTTCACAATCAAGTATTTAGGTTTGTGAATCAGCAAGAAAACCCCGAGCTCGATTTTCATACTCTAAGTCCATTAGCTGGATTTGTATAAATATAGAGGGATTAAATTAAAAAATGTATAATAATGTCGAACGAGGATAAAGTTTACCATCCCTGTGAAGGTTTTAAATGGATCCAATTTTCCAACCACGGTTTGTTGATGCACATTGATTTTTCTGTGCGGAAGAATGTGGGGAAGAAAGCTGTGGGAGAGTGGCAGCAACTGATGTACTCGGAAGCAACCATTAATACCATATTGAGTTTAATAGAAACAAGTAGCGAAAACCGGCATGGAACATCATTGAAAGATTTTCCTTGATCTAAAACGTTGGAAGGAAGACCGTATCAGGTAATTGTTTGTAGGGCAACTTTTTCTCATTAGAAAGCCTTTATTTCACATCAAGCCGTGATATGAGATCCCAACATAATTGTAAAGACTATGTGGATATGGCATCAGGAAGACTAACCCCGGTCAATTTTAACCTGCAAACGTGCAAATTGCTTACAGATTAATTACCAATCTATGCAACTTTATTGAGTAATTAATTTAGTAAGTATGTGTATTAAAGTCAGAAAATCAGAACACTATTTATGGCACGCAGTTCAGGACAACTTAGTAAGTTTCTAATAACACAAGAACTTATTATATTTCCACTTAATATGATTAGAGAGCTTCAGTTAATGCCTAATTGATAATTGATGGTATTGACGTACAGAATCCCATTATTACGAAACACATCAAACGATTAAATTGCAATCTTGAATGGTTCGTAGCAAATCTAATCCCCATAAATCGATAATAGTCAGTAGGAGATCATGTTAGTTGTACATTAAGACAACGACAATAGTATGAATGACTACTATACCCGAGAACAAATCGAATTGTAGTACGAAAAAGAAACGATTTCATGTCTCATTTATGATAGGCTATTATTGCAAAAACGATTATCAAAGTGATTATTTATTAGTCGGGAAATAGTACAATATTTGGGTTTATCGTGTATATGTTTTCTTCCTATCTAGATATATAAATGTTTGAATCCAAAGGTCGTGACTCTTAATGATCAAGAAAATGTAAGTAATATTGAATATATGATTAGCGGTTTCAATAAAATGGCTACTGGACTACGGTGGAATTTGTGTGTTTATTGGTCCTGCCCCCGAACAGTAGTACCTTCATAGGCAAACTCTATACAGGAAATGATAATGCTAACATCTAAACCCAAGTGATTTTTTGTTTAGTAAGCGTAGGTATCTCTCGCATGTTCAAATTGGACGTGAGCCAAATCCAAACAGATATTCAAATTAATAAAGTGATAGAGATATTTTTGAAACCCGCGATTGTTTGTAAAAATAAAATAGCACTTGTCTACAATTTAACTGGATGAGAAGACTTATGAAAGTGTATTTTAAATGACAACTAAAGTGATAATGTTTTCAGTCGCATTCAATGAAGTGGCAGTAAACTTCCTACAACATTGCCATATTTTAATTTCTTGAACAATCCTCTCCATATACTAGAACATAATTGAATACTAATTTATATTCTAGTGCTTCCCTTTAATACACCATTAAAAATAATACCCACACATCAGAGAACTCGGCTCGGAATAATATTCATTTGCACACGTATGGCGTTACTAATAAAAAAAAGTTGAGGTAGTAAAATTAAAATATGAGAAATGGTATAAATAAAGTAATATATACCTTCCCATCAAAAATCCCCCTATTTTGATTATATACATGATAACCAAATGATGAAAAGCGAATCCAACATACATACAATTATGCTGAGTGCAATTTAGTTGTTAAGCAACATAAAAACACGTTCAGCCATATAATCATACGTAAACAGAAGTATTTAGCGGGAAATCAACAAACTACTTGATGAAATTAGTATGGAATAAATTAAATTCCTTTAGAATCAAAATATGTTGTATGACTCGCTCTAGATCAAGTCCAGTTTGTTTTCCTTATGTACAAACATTGCTTACTTTAATCATCAAGCATCGTGATGGTTGGCAACATGTTTCTGGTTGAATAGATTTATCCAAACAATCATTATTTTTTAATGCAGAAGTTAGTGAAATAACGCAAATTGTTCTTGATTGCAACTTCGACAGTATGTGCATAATATATTAATAATTAATCAAAACACGAAAGTAAGTACCTAGCCAGCTACTAATTTTCACGACCAAAAAATATTCAGAGTAGACAACAAACTCAAAATATATTCGCTATCAATAAATATGAACTGATGCGTAATTGCTAACTTTATGGCAAGTATGCCGCTTTTAAGTAACAATAGAACTATACTTGAAATACCTATTTATGATGAAGATAACTCGAAATTTCTTAGGTGTAGATATTTTATGAAAATATTCCGGCGACTTTGAAATAAAATGGACAAAAATGGTGTTTTTCTTGGTTTATGAAAAGAGTTGTGGTTCTTATGGTATCGGTCTTGAGAGGTCACAGTTGAGTCTAAACTTTAATGCTACCAAACTCTCGAATTTTATTTTGGTTCCTTCATCAGGGTGCAAATCTTTTTAAATTTAAATTTAAAGAAAACATCCAGTTCTCCGGCAACATAAGACAAAATGGTCAATTCCACATCTTCAACTTCAGTCAGCCACGTCAGTAATTAAGACAAATATAACTTGTTAAAATTAGAACTATTGAATGACTATAGATATTGAAAATTGATTGACTCATAAGGACTATTAAAATTTTAAAA